AAGCTTTAAATCGAAATAATAGCCATTTTCTGTACTTTTTAGTCATAAGCAAATACGAAATAACACTTAGTACCCAGAAACAAAAATAGTGTTACATAGTTATCAAATAGGAGGAATTAACGGTGCAACGCATCTCATCTGTTAAATATCAGCAGGTAATAGAATTGTTATCTATTGATCCTGGCTGCAGACATTTATTGGTAGGTCACAATAATGAAGATAAGAGAGCAGTTTCACTGTATTATGCAGACCGTGATGACAACTAAAGAACTTAAATCGTGTCGGCAGTTTGAGCAGCTTTGGATGAGACTTATCATGATCCCGCCCATACCCGAGCATGGAGTGAATTCGCTTGTTCAGCTCTTGTGCGCATTCGTCCTCGCCGCTGCCGCTGCGCTTGGACACGACACGACAACGGAACGATCCGCGCCAGGTGCGCGGTGGGACGGAGTCTCCAAAAATAAATTAATCAATCACGATTTTGACTTCCGTTTATTCGGGACCCCGGGGTCCCACCATAAGGTTCAACTGACGTGGCTGATGAACTGCCCACCGACCCAAGCAAGGTGACTACGGTGTCAGTGTAGGATGGGGAAGGACGTGAGGGTCCCAGGACCAGTTCGGATATCACTTGACATTGATGCCAGCCACGGCTGGGAGTCGAACTCAGGTTTGCAGGCTCGTCGCGCACTGCATGCATCGCTGCACTACCATTATAGCAGCTGCCTGATGATGCTGCTTTTAACTATTATCGAAACGTCATACTCAATTGTTAAATGTTGTAACATTGCTCTACTCGACCCAGCACGAATAGCCGGATCAATGAGGGCAATGGGATGGACTCGTGACACTGGAACATTGTAGCAACCACCCCATGACCGTTGCTCCTAGGGGAGAACAAGGACGATAAACCCAAACAACGAGCTTATGTTACTTCATTATCCTGTTTTGTTTGGTTACATTACTCCTTCCCTCTTCTCGCTCCTTCCCTCTTAATCTGCCACTCCCGGCCACTGCCCATCCAGAAGTGGTCCCAAGGGCCTCCAGACGGCCCCCATTAGAGGTTCATGGTTCGTTACTTGTTTGCGATGTGTATCTCTCTCTCTGTGATGTCTGTCTTCTGGAATAATACTATAAATACAATGTCGTGACATTGCTCTCGAACACACCGCAATGTGTCTTAAGCAGTCACACACTGGCACTTCTGTTCGTCACGTGACACTTTTATAGATGGGCTGTGTCGGGTGGAGGAGGGTTTACGACACATTTCACTCACGCGATCTGACCAAAATTATGAATCACTGCGATATTGTTTGCGATACATCAAGACAGAACGAATTATATAATTATTTATCCAGAAAAGCCTCACCGAGTCTCAAACCTCCTTTCTAGAAGGGTTCTGCCTTGGCGGTGGTTGGGCACGTTCGTATTTAATGAGTGTTTTGCAAGTGAGAGGGAACCAGATGCACCAGAGAAGATGGCTCACACGAGAGGATACAACTCCAAATGTGCACATGAGCACAGGAACCCATTTGCTATACTGTCATCCACTGACCACCTTTCAGATTTTTCCTCCGGTGAAGCTTCAATTGCAGACTTGATGTCGATTTAATTTGTAAAAAAAAAAAATCTAAATGCAATGTAAACCTGAGGGGGCATGATCAAATTCAAAAATGCATTGAACATCCATACCAGAGCACATATTATGCAGAGTATGATTTTTCACTGAAAGTGTAATATGATGTTGTTTTCTGCAGGCAATATTGTTCCTCAGGAGGATGCTCTGTCGAGACGTTTCTCTGATTCCGTTGGAGGAGATCAGAGTACCCGGACAAAACAACGCGCCACGCACGAGAGGATATTAACTCGCAAAAGACAGCAGGCAGGTTCACAAACCCACTTGCTGTACTGCCACCTCTTCGCCAACCCACGATCCTGTAGGTTGCGGAGTTTCACAGATCTGCATGCTCAACTTACAAAATCGCGGCATTTACAGGCGTGTCTCATCACGAAGGAAGTTGCATCATAACGACGGTAGTCTTCTGAGTACAATGTATAACACACACAATACAACAAAGATTACAAATGTCACATAACACACAACGTGAACAAGATGAGAGCTTGATATGCTTTTACTACTGGACATAAACTACTCTCTACTTATTTAAATTCGTTTGATTGATTACTGTTTTGTCATAAAAAATTGCATTGCAATTATTGAAGGCGAATAACTTAAAGCGGCAAATGGAGCAGAATGCAGTGCCTATAGATGAAACATAACGGTTTATATTGAAAAGCTATCAACGTGTACAAATAATGACGTTTTCAATCGGTGCCTACTATCAACTTTGATATACACCGAGAGAGGAGGAACCCATGCACTTCAGGGAACAAATTAAATTGAGAGAAGTAAAGATTTACTTGGTAAAAGTTAGTGGATGTGCACTTGGCAATGCGAGGATAGGGCTGACGGCTGACGGACAAGACCGCTGCTGGAATGGCAGCCAGAGGCGTGAAACGGTGCAAGAGGATAACCTCTGCAGGGCTGGCGAGGTAAGATGATGCCGTTCTCTGCCGGTCAAATGGCCCTTGGAGAGCTTCAAGGGGCATATACTTCGGACTGAGTGAGATGTATTTATGTATTTATTTGCATAGTGTGACAATGGATTGTCACATTGTAGCACTCTATGAGGGATGGCAATGGCAGGAAGGCCTTCATCCAGCAGTGGAGAGACAATGGCTGCTGCTGATGATGAAGAGGTGTGGTAAATTACCAAAGAGTAAGAATAATGCGCTTTATTTAACAGCGATTTCCTTTACCCAGAAAGCCTCATGGAGCCTCAATGACCCTTTCAGCAAGGTCAGCACCATGCCCATCTTATCAGGAACTCATTCACCCATCATAAATATATCTGTATTGTAAGAATTGACAGCCTTGATTTAATTTCCGTTTCATGATTTTCATGTCTATGAAAACTTAATCTACTGTAATGTATGTATCACACTATTATCAAACGTGATAGAGATCATACCCATTGCAGCAAAACACACATGTGCACGTGCTTTCAATGTCGCTGTCGTTTCATTGCATCTCTCGATAGGACAACCACCGTCGCCCGTGACACACACATGATCATGCGCCTCTGCGTGTGGTCTTTCCAAACATCTGCCAGCCGAACCCGTTGGTGGGACACGTGTAAGGATGTGGTGTGGCTCCTCATCCTCTCTCGCCTACCAGTCTGCTCTTCGGAGGAAGAAAATGCGATTTTGGTATCGACGCGGGCCCTGAGCCTTTACGCCTACAGAAACTTACAGCCCCGCAATAACAACAATAACAACAACAACAGCAGCAGCAGTGATAAAAGTAAGGGGCCTTGGGTGGTATTATAATTCTGGTGGGTTGCGTGCGGGCAGCAGACCATCGCGTGAGAGAGTTGAGAATCGGGCGCAGCCAATGTGAGCGCAAACACGCGGTGGCCAGAAAGGTGACAGCCAGATTATGTCCAGCCCATGCCACGCAGATGGGCAACACGATTAATTTTAACGAGAACCAAAAAAAACACTGGCACGGCGGGTGGTGTCGCGCAGGGCGGATTTGTGAATTCCAAGGTATACTCGGGGAAACGGGACTAAGCATGCGTGTGCACTTTTCTCACGCCATCTCGGCTGTGGCTTGGGCAGGGATTTTTTTTGCCCCTTTAAATTACGGTAGTTGGCCTTCGCGTGTTGTAACTAATTAATCCAATTGTGAGCTCGACGTGTTACCGGTTATTATAGCCACGCGTTTACGGATTTTATGTTAATGCAGTTTATTTAGTTCACGTAGTTAAGCTGACCAGCCAATTATGTAATTTAAATTTGCGATTGTGCTGTGACTCATGGTAAGGATATTTGTTGATGTGGTAATTGAACATGATTTTTATTTACAGAACGATTGCCTTGTTTAACGAGTGCCACGTGTTGAGTAAGTATGAATTGAAAAAAAAGTTACATTTTACTGGCTTTGGAGACGAGTACTCTGGAATGCATATTTAAAGCAAATTCTCATCAGAATCTAAATTGAAGGCTACCGGTTCAAATATAAATCACCACTGAAGTTAGGCGTGGGATATAATCTAATTTTAGATCGCAGGGTACATTCGGTAGTACTATAATTGCTGCGCCATCGCTTTAGAATTAAGGTAAACATTGCAAATCCACGGTATTTTTCTTTGCAAAACTCTCAAATGTAAAGTGCAGCCCTGCAATTTCTCACACGCCACTGACGTTCCCTTTAAGGCAATGGTCTACTCTTTCACTTTGACCAGACGTCTCGGAAGATGTGGAAGCACCCACACATTACCCCACCACACGATATCTGCTGATTGATGGAAGGCAGGAGGCATTTAAGAAAATTGACATTATTTCAACTGCAGTGCCAGGGAGACTGTACTGGCGACATCGGGATTGGTTGGGTTCGGTGTGCTAACCATTATACAGTGGCAGCATCCCCTACTTCATATGAAGAATATTGTAATTCATGGATGGACACAACTATGTCCGGATCTAAACGAGTTATAATAAGAAAACGCGTTTCACCATCATAAAATACTTATTTGGGCATTTTGAGATAACGTTTTCCAGCCGAATTTTTAGTAGGCAAACCCTGGACCGGTTTTGGCTTTACGAGTCTCGTGAGAATGGTGTAGCCCTCTAACAAACATTTAGGTTGGCTCATGTTGCAAAGAAGCATCTCCTTCACAAAACCACGGGGCCTGTTCAACTGCACAAAACACGTTTTGCTGGGCAATGGCAGAATATCCTTTACTGCCTACAATTCAGACTTTTTATGTAGACACAAACGTGTTGTTCATGGACATCTTTGTCACAGCAGATAGGATTCAGATAATATCCGAGCCTCATCGTCAAGCCAGGTTGAATGTGTTCTTGTTGTATGCATTTAACTTAATAAATATGTAAAATTAAAGGAAACTTAACATTGTCCCACACACATTAATGTTTGCCACACGTTTATTACACAACATACCACAAATTATCCAAAACTGGTCTTCACATGGAAACCAAATCTACTGGTGGTAAAAAAATGTACATTACTTTATTTGAAGAAAATATTTACATTTCATAGTGTACATCGTTTTACGTTGAACACAAAAATAGACTTTTAAAGCCAACCTCAGAATATTAGTCGAGAAATTAGGGTTCATGAGTTACCTTTCCTTCAGCTCGGTTTATGAAATCAGTGTTTAATGCCTAGATAAGAAATGTTGATATTTTTAGCTACTTTAAAATCAATCTGTTCCCTTGTATAATCCGATTGTCATAATTCAATGTAAAAATTCAACACACCTACAAGAGATACGTTTATCCACAAAACTACTGTAGACCACCAACAATGTACACTCCCTTCTATGACGCTGAAATCAGGCACGTAATGATGCATCAAATCATAGATTCCCATTGCTCATAATACATGCATTTATTTGTGCGTCTGTGAGAATCTATGACTTTTGATTCATGTTACTAAACTACCCACAGCCTCCTGTAAACCAGGCAAGGTAGTTATTATCTCGCCACCAAGGCTACATGACCCCTACAGCCAAAACAACAATAAAACAGTTATGTCATCATATAGTGATGGGGGTGAATCATTACACAGCGTGATGGACAGGGTGGCAGTGGAAGAAGTGAACCCTGTAAAGGATTTGAACCCATGACTAATTCCCACCATAACAAAAACCACGCATAAATAACATCTGTTTGTGGTTTATTGTAACGCTTAGTTTCGACTTCTAACTTAAAAGCTAATCGTATGACTTATAACAATGCAAGTTGACGCCAGTACACAAGACAAAGACTCAAGGTTTGTGAAAAACAAAAGTAATGCATAAATTAGCCAGTAAGTTCAGTAGCCAGGACAAACGTAAAAAGCCATAACCCTTGACATAAGGAAAATAATGAAAAACAAAACAAATCTCAGAAAAAATGAAAATACAAATAATAAGGTGCATTTTTACATTTTCCTGAAAAAAAGCTTAAATCCAGTTTGGTTCATGCTCTGCGAGTCATTTTATTTTCATGGGGGTGCTTATCTTAAAAATTATAATGGATGTGAAGCACATGGCTGAAAAATGCCATGGCTGGACCAGGAAAAGGAGCTACCCCGAACCTAATCCTTTGAGTCCCCAATTCCATCTGCGTTGATGGCAAACATTGCCTCTGATTCTGGCAGGCAAGGAGAGTCGTATATCTTGCATATTCGGGTCTCGCCACGTCCCTTGCGGAAGTACAACCTGCACGCACGGCAAAAGAAGGGACACCCATTCAGCTTTACACAAATTGTGATGCCCAAGTTACGATGTGAATAACAACCGAGCATATTAGAACTCAGCCTGTTCTACATACTGTAATCGTTCAACCAAGTTTTAGGAATTGCAATAGGCTATTAGTTTTTAATATTCAACATGCACAACCAGTCTACACTGGCAGAGACAAAATATCTTTCACCAGATTTAATTTTTAATAGATATCAGAATATTTAGACAAAATAGTTATTTAAACGTTTGATAATAGAGATATTAAGTGGTATTACCACACTGAATATTGTATTTATTTTTACAAGTTACTGTGATTCCACAATCACACTGAGAATTTATTTGCAAAACCAAAGCGTTATAGAAAATGGTATTAACAAGATATGTTCCACTATTGAACACAATTATCGTGGTAATAGGGCAATACAGTTAAAGACACTCGCTCCAAGTCTGCCGTTTTTCCTTCTGAAGCTTGCCTGGTGGTAGACGAGTGGGCCATGATGTTTCCCCCGATGGGCTTTTTGGGATCAGCTGTAAACATTGCAGCTCCATCCACCTGAGCCACCACTTGATTGGTAATGACTACTGCCACACCAAACTAAGAGAGACACAATACAACGAATACTTTAGTTATTTCTCCATTTCAGATAAATGGAGAGATCCTCCTGTTTCGGTCTTAAACTAGGAACGAATTATGCTGAAACTAGTAATGAATTGGCATGTTTTGTTTATGTGACAAACCTTACTACACTAAACCCTTGGTTTAACGGACCCCCATTCAACAGATCTCGGATTTAACAGACAATCTGCTGAATCTAAGTTTTGTCCGAAGATCAGAAAACAACCGACTTTGCCCCGGTAATGGGGAAATCAGTCCGGTCAATATTAGCTTCTTCCCCTTAATGGGTACAGTATTGATTACACTACACATGCTTTTTGTTATAATAAGTCAAAATATTGAGAAGTGGAAAATCAGTTGTACAATACATTTACAGTACTTTGGTCTTTACAAATATTTTACTGTATTATTAATGTACAGGTATTATTATACTATTATTGCCGTGTTGATTTTATATTTTGAAAGGCATTACAATATTTTATAACTATTATTGAACTATCAGTAAGTAGTTCGCGTGTGGTAGGGTGTCATTTAGTGCGCAAATGTGTAATTTGGCCATTAACGGACAATCGGATTCTACGGACACCGCATTCCCCCCTATCTGTGTGTTAAACCGAGGGTTCACTGTAATTGGCTGTGTCGGGTGGCGGCGGGTTTAACGACACAGGCAACGGAATGGAGTTTGTAATAAGGCATCTAAATAAGCCCTCGGCGACCTCATCTGCAAGACGCAGCAGCATGCGGAGGAAGCGCGCCAAGTGCATCTGCCGAGCGGCCAGCTCCCCACGGCCCGAGTAGTCAGTGCGGTACAAGGCGGTGGCGCTGTCAACTATAAGCAGGGCATACCTACGGAAATAAAACACATGGTTCTGTCAGTGCCAGACAGTTATGAACCATATTCATGGGTTTCCCCAGCACCAGTGTAAATATTGACAAAGGGTAGCAGTTATGTAATGATTGACCCACACCAGCAATTATGAATTGTGTAAATTCAATGTCGCCATTCAATTGCAGAATTCTTTATTTTGTCTCTTGTATATTTTCATCTTATTTTGTACTGTTTCTTAATACATTCTCATACGTTGGAATTGATGCAAGTACTGAGCATAATTCTTTCTAATCCATCGATGTCTTTACATGCCTACTCACTAAACCGATGCGCAATGGCATATGAAGAAACTTTCCCAAGTTTTGAGCCACCTTCAAACTCAAAAACATTATTATAGATCCTGAGTAACCACGGCTTAATGTTAAGAGTGCAATAGAAGTTGAATCAGCAACAACGTCATACCTAGACTCGGCCATCATTGCGGATGCCTGGTACAGCAATTGAGTCTGGTGGTCCGAGTTGTATGCTCGTGCGTAGGCCACGTTGTCCAGAACATCGCTCCCAGAGAGACCAAATCTGCGCACACACAATAAATTTTCAGTGCATTCATATTTAAAAACTGTCATAATTAGCAAACATTGTTTTTGTAACGCTTGAAATCATCCTTCAGGTGTGGCAAATAACAAATACTATATATACAGTCTACACATGCATGTGTTTGCTCACAATAGAGAATTATCTAAATTATTTCCATTTATTATGTCTATTAGATTGTTTGTGCATGGTGTCATGCTGCTGCTTAATCTGCCCAAACTCTTGTTTTTCATTTGTCTAATTTATTAAATGTATATTTTAAGATGTTTTAGGGTAAACACTACGTAACTTTAAATTGCATGTCACCAAATCACTCCAATGTGCCCCATCTCATCAGATCTCATCATATCTCGTCAGATCTACAAGGCTTAGTTGGATATTGCATGACTGTGGTCACCATACCGAAGCGCTGTTAGAAGGTGCTGCAGGGCTACATCGCGCGCAACAAGGGCAGTGCAGAAATACCCAGTGTTGTATTGTCCTTCTCTATCGCCAGGTCTATGCTACCCACCTTCACCAACCCGCACTGACCAACAAGGAGTTGTATAGTCAACATCGCCTCCATCACCAGCACGAGGTGTGGGGAGGCACTCATCCACTCGTGGATTAACAAAGTGCTGTCTGTACACTTGCATCATTTCAAATTATTATTCATGATTTTTAGGTGTTATCTTTTTCTAAGCACACTCTCTAAAACACCCAGAGATTACCAACCAGTAAGTGTGCCATGAATGTATATTTAAACAAAGAAACACATAAGCACGCAAATACGTTTGTGCACATTTTGGCATTGGAATACAAAGTGGAAAAAATGTGCTTGAAGGAAACCCAAAACATCACTTTGGGGTAAAAAAAGTGCCAATAAAGGGTCCCATGGTGTGAGTGTAAGCAGCAAAAGTTAAATTGCACCAACAGCAAGGAGGCTGCAGCCTGGAGGCGTCGATAATAGTGGGGTCAACCCCCACTTGTGCAACGTGCGAGCTCTGGGTACGCACGCGAGTGAAGATAAAAGGAAATGTGTGCTTTCCTCTTTCACTGGTTTTTATACAACATAACTTTCCTCAGGGCATAATGACTTATAACCCTTTATAGTTTCACGTAAACCATTGTTTATATATTTTCAATGTGCATTTAATGTTGAACAGCACATAACTACCTTAAACTCAATACAATTTATAGATGTTGTGAATGAACTCTTTCACCAATTAAAAAAAACTTTTAATTAGCATTTATTTTAAGGTAAGGGTCCAACCCCGCTATTGTTTGCTCACAGCACTACTGGCAGAAAGGCTTCCCAGAGAGGGAGCTCTATATAGCCCCTCTAGAGGGTATGTTTGGCCTACTCTTTTCTGATGGCCAGACATCCTGAAAGAGTAGGGATTACACCCACACTGTACCTCACCGCACACGGCCAACTGTCGTGTAGCCATTTATACTGCTGGGTGGACAGAAGCAGGGGATTTGAAAAAACTGGCACCATTGCTTAAGTTGCCGAGATCGGAAATCCAATTGTGCTAACCATGATGTAAGTTATAAAAATTGCCATCTTGACATTTATTTTATTGTTACTACTATAGATGTTTAAAAAAAATGTATGCACTACATAATGAGATTTATTTTTCAGTTTCTGTTAAACGGCCAAGGCATCTTTAAAAACAGTGCATCAATCTGCTGAGAAAACAACTTATGAGGTGCCCAGCAGGCTGAAAAACACCATTCTTTACACTCTCAATCAGATCACAACAACCAAATTCATCCTCGCTCAGCACCAGACCTTTCAGCGACTGCGAGCAAGCGTTCTGGACGGAATGTGCCTTCTGTGTCCACGTACATGGCCTTTCCCTCTCCACCACCCCGGTCAATTGGAAGCTGTTAAAAGGAAGTCAATGAATGCAGAGAGGAAAAAATAAATCGTGTGATTAAAATAATTATTTTAATACAAATGTCAGCATATTCAAGCTCATGTTTATTTTTAATAAGCGCCAATATGCAACATATTTTTCCAATCCCCTCAAGACGACTACTGTGCTTTGTAGTAAATGCAAATTATGTTACACAAAGAGTTGTAGACAAGTTTAATAACTGGACACATCATACTTCTTGGCAGAAGAAAGTACACATATGTAATATATGTGAACTCAGGCAGGCTTTAGATAAAGAAATGAAATCCACCAAAAAAAAGGCATATACTGCCATAATAATGCACAATAGAGTACTTTGTTAAATAACTAAATATCACAACCCTTGATTAAATCTGGGTGGGCTACAAGTCCAGTCTGTTCATCAGTGTGAGCGAGTTCCAAGCTCCAATTCCCATCTCTGCACCCCCTTATAATTACAAAGTAGTGTTAAACGGGAATATTATAAGTACACAATAAAATGTAATTAAGAATGTCCAATGTGATATTTAATGGTTATCGCAAATGGTACACACCTTGTATTAATGATTAAAAGATAAAGGTGATGATACACAGCATTATTAAAGGCACCGATAATAATAAGACGGCACCTGACAGGTCACGGCCAAGGTATGGCAGAGCTGCGTCTTTCCTGTGCGAAACTCTCCAAACAGTTCCGTGATAGATCCAGTTTCAATTCCTCCTAATGAATAAACCAAACCGACAACCATAATTACTACAATTCATAAACGGTAAATCAGCCAGTCATACCTTAGACATCGAACAAAGACAGTCACTACAATGTACCCTTTCAGATGCAGTTCTGCGGCCATCTGCAATGCTTCAACTTCCGACATTAGGAAGTCACTGGAGCTATGCACTTTTAAATCTAAATTGAAAACTCATTTCTTTATAACTGCTTTATGTGTTTAGGATGCTGTCCTTCACCAGCACCTCCGAATAGCACGGTTGTCTACGTACAGTGCGAAAGAAGTTCAACATACATAGAAAACAAAGTGAGATGCTAGTTCTGTGTATGCTCTTGTGCCTTGCCTTGAAGAAGTTTATCCAGCTCTTTGGATCCTGTGCTGATCTGAATGATCTCCGAGCGTCGCTGGTGAAACTCTGTGGCTGTTGTGAAGCCCATTGGCACGAGTTTAGCTGCCTCTGCCTGTTACAAAACGTGGAGAAATAGTTACAGTAGTGAAAGCTCTCAGATGGAAGAGTTAATTGATGAGTTGAAACTGCAACCTGAATGCTGATCCCGATTCAGGTTCTGTGCGGTGAAGAGTTACAATTTGTACAAAAAAAACATTGTTTTCGACATTCCAACCTTATGATATTAAATGGAAACAAACTATCCTACAATAAAGATATTCACATTTGGCATAATAATCCAAATAATCTGCCGTAACCCATAACAAAAAAATCTAACTTAATGAAAAACTTGATCTGGCTAAAGCAGAACGTCTGCTAAATTGATGATACAGAAACAAATGTGAGTGCAGAATTTATTTAAAAGATATTAAGCATAAGACAATTACAATAATGGTAGTCAATTTTTTTCAATACTTGAAGAATTTGGTTGCCTTCTTTGGGAGTGCAGGAAGAATCCTCAATTTTACATTTCAAACAGGCTGTGAAACAATGGAAAACAGAGTAGAATGGCCAGTAAAACAGTCGGTGGGGTGGCTAAGGCACAAACAGAATGACAAGAGCCAACAACGGTGAGAACATCATGACCGTAGAAAGTGTTTACACGTGCATTTTACTATGGGTTGGAAATAAGCAAGGCGAAACCTTGTTCACGGTTTATGGAAATGCGATGCAAAAACATTGCATCGTGTAGCTGGAATAACAAGTGTAAGTGGATTTTCTGCAGCCAGGGCAACACAAACAACAAACAGCATTACTTTGAAGGTAATGTAATTTAAGAGCTATACAACCGCATTGTGAAGTGATTTTACTTGGCCAAGCACTGTATAATTTAAGTTGAACACGATTTTGCAAACATTATAAAGGCATGTTCCCATACCAGCATTGTTCGCTCCTAGCCAACTACCATGAGGATTTTTGCATTTTATGACAATTTAAAACTCTCATCAGTGCATACTTCTAGCCACCAATGCATGTGTTCACTAAATCAGAATTAACATGGGGGTGGATTTACAGGCAAATGCTAAATGTAACCTCATTCGAACCATTCTCGGGTCACATATTTGCACCTCTTCACCTTGGCCTATGCCGCCAAGTCTCACCGCGTGGTAACAGATCACGTCCACCACAAAAGACAGCATTGTTAAAGTGCGGTGATCGCCCACGATTACCATTCTTGTATAGCTCAATCTCATGGAGCTTTAACAGCACCAGACCAAACAATCCCACCGCGTTGCAAGATAGCAGGAGAACAGAATGTGCTTTAATTCAACATCTGCCTGTAAATATATTATCATGGACTTAAAAACAATTCAAAATTTCTACATTAAATTTAGAGTATGCAAGCTTATGTTATGAAACATCTTAAATTATAGGCAAACAATGAAATTACAAGTACTATATGAAAAATACTTTTGTTTGCATGTTTACTCGCAATGAAATAAAATTGTCAACAAAATGTAAAAAATGCAGACTAATAAATTCGTCTCTGCGTCAACACTAGACAATTTACCTAGAATGAAACATGGTAAACTGTTAAAGGATCCTTAATACATGTAGATGTAGGAGTAATTCCATCTATCTTTGGAATTGCACCTATATCTGCAGGTCCTCATCTCAGAAAGTTGCTCATTTTGTCACGCATTGCTTTGAAAAACACAAGGAAACTCAAACAATATCTAGTGACCATATTGCAAAGTTTACAATACTGGAGGCAGGCCTTTGAAAATAATTGGTAAGAGGTAGTGAACCAGGACATGAAGGGGCAGTGGAGTGAATGTGGAGAAGGCCCAGCAGAGGAATGAGTGAAGAAAAGGAACAGGAAGGCAGACCGCACACGAGTGAGACAAAAACTCCTGGACGAATTCAGTTGAAAACCCAAACCATATGCGAAAGATGCACGAGATTGAAAAAATGTAATGAATGACGATTGAAAACAACACTAAATATCCTCATGGCTCACAAACTGATAGTAATTTCCTTTCAATCATGTGGGGGTGTTTTTGCATACTAAGCAAGTCACTGATGCTGCGACATACGAAGCTCGTGCATTGCCATGCTAATCTCTCACAATACAATGGCCACTTACACAGCCTCAGAGAGACCATCTCTAGCCCCGCCCTCTTACCCTGAGGCTGCACCCATCTCAGGCCTCGACAAGACCTCGTCTCAGTAGCTTTCTCTCTCCCTCACCTGAAGACGGTCGCTTGTGTTGCGTCGTGATCTATAAATTTTCTATCTACGTGACTTTACCGAAAGAACCAAAGAGTATGTCGGGGTGTGATGAATAATGTATTTGAAAACTTTTTAAAAGCAATTGAGACACAGGGCCCTATAAACTTGGGCTGTCCATTTCCTTTTAACTCACCAAAATCTTGTCAGCCTTCGCCTCACTGATGCCCTTTATGTTGAGCAGTTCTTTCTTCGGGGCGTATGCCACAGACTCCACAGTATGAAAGCCAGCCTCCTCCAGCTTCTTCACATCGTTGGCACTCACACCACATTGCTGCAAAGGGAAGTCACAAACACTCCCTTTTTGAAAAACACACTTATAACAACGAAACAATAATGTTAAGTTGAACAGATGGTAAATTAGTGGAATTTAAGTATCCACCATTTACAAAACTGTGCTTTGCTGGAGCATTTATAACGTGTTGCAAATTATTTGAAAGTTGGGCAATGAAATTTCAGGAGCTAGTTAAATTCCTGATATATCAAACACACGCATACATAGCACTCAAAGCAATTAGCTAAATGTAGCAACTCAGGGGCTGGTTGTGTATAGCATTGTAAATGATTATTCCCCATATACAGTTTTAAATATAAAAATTGCGGAAAATTCCTCGATGTGTTATATAACCGGACAAAGGTATATTAGTCAATATATATCAACATTCCTGCATGCATTTGACATGTGAAAAGCGTAATCAATTATATATTACTAGCGGGAAGTACCCGGCATTGCCCGGGGGAAAAATATATTTCCAAACTTCTCTTTAAAACATAACATATACATACACAAGTACTAAGCCATTGTGAAAACCCGGCGTTCCGTTTGTCTGTCCATTTGTCCATCAACAAAATTATAAGAGGCTTGAAGAAGTCCTGAATCAAAAAGTAATAGAAAGTGGTAGGTAAATAGTTGATCTAAAAGGTTTCCAAAAATTGTCGACCTCCCCCCCACCTCAAAAAATATTTTTACCCCCCACCTCAAAAAATATTTTTACCCCCCCCCTCCCGTAGGCATATATACCTACACTTAGCAAAACAGAGCAATTTACAGTACCATACTGTATAAACTATATACTGTATGTATTTATTAATTACAATACTGTATTGGACAGGAAAATGTAAAATAAAAAACAAGGTAAATTCTTAGCCTACCTATATGAACTGCAATTTCATAGAAAGTTTTTTTCAGGAAACAATCCTATCTGCTGTAAAAACGTTTAACATGCATTGAACGTATCGTATCGTGGTAACCCTAAAATGAAATCGCTAAAGCTACGTATCATACATGCATTGAACGTATCGTAACGTATATTGTACTGTGCTCACCAAGATGCGTACGCTGCTGCGTTTGCCTGCCGCGTAAAATTTAAAATATCTTACAATTTTGTCGTATCGCCATCGTAAGATCGAAATATCATAAGTCGGACCATCGTAATTCGGGGACTATCTGTACAGGGAGTGTGGGGCAGGGGTAGGGAGGACACAAGTATGGTGGGGAGGGCAAGTGGGCGGGGCTGGGAGGGTTAGGAAACTGGAGCTGCAGATATGAAGGCAGGCCAAAAGCAGTTATGGTTTTACCTGGTTAGTAACATCCTTCCAATGATTGCTCAATCTGTATCCATCTTCCCGGTTGAAGTTATGTCTATGTTTATATATCTGGATGGCTTCATGAACAAACCTTTGATAGTAGCTCGAAGGTTTGCAGAGCACCTTGGTCTCGGAAAAAACAATATCATGAGAGCCCACAGCGTTATAGCAATGGTCAGCCACGGCGGAGGAATTAGTTCTGCCGTGTTTCAGATCTGCCTGAAATACGAATAGCGCTTTTTCGTCCCGGGGCATACGGTGTGGTATCCGTGTACTTTTTTGATATGTAAATCCCACAGTTTGTCAGTTAAAAACGTCACAAGGTACCTGCGCAGACAGACACACAGACAGACAAAAACGACTTATAGAGGTAAGATGGCTGAAGATTAAATCAGTCAAAATGTTGAATGTAATATTCTTAAAGGCGTTACCTCAAGTCTTGTAGCAGGTTGAGGCCCAAAAGACTCCTCCTCAACTTCAGTCACTTCATGTTGAATTTGCATGGCCATTTCTGACCTGCGCAACAAAAACATATACAATTCGGATCTATATAACATCTGAATGATACCGTATCTCTAGATGGTGTAACAAAATGCGGGCTTATGTATTGTATGGAGAGCCAGTCAATCATAGGCAGAGGGAAAAAAATGTACGCTTTGAGCCGGAATTTGAGAAAGGGAATGGAGTCCACAGCACAGGATGGCTGGAGGGAGTGCCAGGCTGTGAAGGCAGCAGAAGAGGATTACAATCCAAGACAAACTGCTTGTGTACAATTTTCAAATAAGAGCTATTTGTTGTTTAGGTTGCATATTCACTCAATGTCCTTTTAAGATGGGACGTGTTTTTCCCCATATGATGTGGATAAAATGTGAAATTAAACAAAACAGTAACATTGAGGGGTATCTAATTTCTCACATTAACATCACTAGCCCCCCCGGCCACTTCTTTATGACTCTTGGGCTACACCCATTTCAAACTTTTTAAAACAGTCTGCCTCAGCAGCAGGCCATGCTTTCCCACCTGATGATGGACGCTTGTGTTACGCCCGAAACGTCATACTATATTTTATACCTACGTGACTTTACCGAAAGAACCAAAGAGTATTGCGGGGTTATTTATACGTTGTTAATGTTATGCATTGCTGTGCTTTAAAGTAGGATCTACTTGTGATGAATCCACTACAATGTAATGTTACATAATTAACATATCAATGATTTAATGTGGAATAATTGTTCGACAACCACAGTACACATCTGTACAGTAATGCCACGTACAGTTACAAAATTGAGCCCAGGATTTTGAGTTGGTGGACCACATCAAGATCAGCATGTGCTTCAGACCCAGAATCTACGACGCTCTTTGGCACAGATGTCCAGTAGGGGGCGGGTGAGAAAGTTAAAATTAACAATACAAAAAGCAATAGGAGTTCAAAGTATAGGAAAGGTCAGCTTGGGCAAGAAAGCAAAACAGAAAAAACAGTCCCGGACCACACCAAGACAACATACAGTCGCTCAATAAAATTCCACCTATTCAAATATAATTATTGAAACACGGGTACGGATTAAAGTTACCCTTGGCCAGCATATATAACCCAATATATATAGCCTCTTGTTGTAGCAGCTCTCTCGCTGTGTTCTTCCTGGTTCAGCAGTTCTACTGCTGGATCTGTTCCACCCGATGACGTTCGCTTGTGTTGCGATCGAAACGTCGTGATCTATTGTTTTCTACCTACGTGACTTTACCGAAAGAACCAAAGAGTATGGATTCCTGCAGTCACGAAAGCTTAAAATCAAGACCCAGCACGAATCTTCTGCTTCAGGAAGACCCGCCAGCTGTGCCGAGGTGCCAAGGAACGGCATCTCAGCACGTGTTTCATACCTGTACGTATTGTTAAGTGACCTCCTCGTATCTCGCCAGGTCAAACAAGTACAGCAATGCAATCTGGACTCAATCTCTTCGGAGCTTTGGGTGTTATATCCTCGTGTAAGTGTATTCTTATGAACGGAATTGTCCAAACAATCCCATACAGAACCCTCCTGAATAAGATCATCCGAGACTCCCGCGAGTATTTCCGAGGCGAATTATAAATAATAAGTGGTAATAAATAAAGTGGTAATAAAAATAAGGTGGTCATTACCACATTATTTTAATTACCACCTTATTTTAATGGAAACCCCCATTCGGCTGTGGCTACATTGGCGACGAACATGTTGAAAGGGCACTAACATCATTCAACTCGCACAAGTAGTTTGACGATATTAAGTGAAACGTGTCAGAGGAGCAACGGGGAGGCACCACAGATAATCAATTCGACAGCAACTCACAACAAAAGCCCTACACACACACACTGCGTACTTTCAATTAAAGAACGCTACGCTAATTATTCGTGAGGTAATTTCGTTGATTTCAACTTTAGACGAAAGCCCGATGCCGCAGGCCGCAAGTGCGAACCACAAAGTAACATTCCCTGTGCGATCAGTTAATGCCGGAATGTCACAATGCACCTGGAGAGATGTTAGCGACAGCCGCTCAGGTTCGTGAGTAATAAACTTGCCCGGGGTGCGTCTTGTCCGCGTTGTTGTGCTCCGCCGCGAACGAACTCGGAACAAACAGCGGCGTTTAAGAAGCGCGCCAAAACTACACCGAATCGATTCTAAAACTATCGCATCTTCGATTCGATTCCTGTTTTGTTACTACGATGGACGTAGAATCGGGAACCTTGAGTCTGCGGTTTTTTGAATCGATTCCCTCGCGCGCGAATCGATTTTATTAGTCGATGTACACGAATCGTTAGAAGCGCGATTCGGTTATGCAGAATGATGAGATTGTCCTGGCAATGAGTCACATTAATGATGAACGTGGCTTAAACAATCTTTTACCTAAATCACTATTAGTAATCATCATCACACGTGTATTCCAGTTGTCCCTTCGGAATCTCCCATTGTTAAGTGAACTTGCACAGTTTTGCTGTCTTGCGTCTAACTTTGCAGCCTTCTGTATGTAAATATTTTAAAAACATTTCCTTAAATTTATAACCATTGGTTGTTGTTGAAGGTTAGCAAAACCTGAGGTGGCTACTCTTGATGTAATTACACGATTTCATCAAATACCGCAAAGCAACACTCCATACACGTTTGGAAAATTAGAATCGAGAAACAATGGCATGTATCTTGACACACATCACTTTAGATCTATGCATCGTGACGTCTAATTGCATTTTACACGCCTCGAAGTGTACTTTAAGATTGCATAAAGTGCAGTCAAACACGCCGTGCTTGTGTCTATTTAAAATCAAACTCACGCAGCATGTACACATTGCATCAGGTTTATTGAGATTAGAACACTGCAAATGCATTACAGCATTGGTGTCCCTTGCATACCATATACATTGATAACAATATCCTGTGTACCGTCACCAGATTGTGTTCCCCATACGTAAAGATGATGCACTGCAAGTGGACACACGATAATGAACTTGATTACTTAAATGTCGGTGCTTAAACGCGTGCCCGAATATTACACCTGGTACAGCATTAGAAATGTTTAAAGTAACACGGGATAAAGCGATTAGAGCTTTGGAGTTGAGAGGTGTAACTTTATTGTGTAATTCCTCGTATGTTTTCATTTTGACTCGCACCATACCAAGCGTAGAGCGAGGCCACAGCGCCACCTTGTATTTAGAGAGAGATATCAGGTGTGATTTATATTAATGGATATTTCAAATCTGAGTCCGACGTGATGTTTAAATTATCATTCCACTAACATGTGAATCACACTAATCAAATACACATAACCAAGAAACTGCACATCATTTTGAACTAGCAGTTCAAAATGTATGAACCAACTTGAAGGCGTGTTTAGATTCTACATACTTAAGATAAATACGTTCCCAATTTTCACTTGAAAATCAAGCTTAGATACATTTCTGATTAAATCAATGCTTTATTTAAGATATATCTGAAAAGTGCCATGACAGGAAGTAACTGCACTTCATTGTGGTCACTTACACGATTTTCTCACTAAAAGTGCTGTCGCATGATGTCATTTTGACGTGGCGTAAATTTCACTTAAATTATAAAATATGTTCACATTTTAATTTTAATTAAAATTCCCCAACAATCTGGAAGCACTTCTAAAAAAATGGTATCTGAAAAAATTAAATGAAAAACTCATCTATAATCCATTTCTCACTGCAAGTATTTTTTTCACTCGGTGAAGATTATCTAGTCGGGGGTGGTGCTTGTCCTAACAACCCTGAGACAGTGATGAAAATTCCACATTTCTAAGGCTGGTCAGTCGACCCAGAGAGAAAACCACAAAGCTATCACAAAGTGGTACCGCATTATCAACTCAGAGGCACAGAGGACTGAATCAACTCCCAATTTAGATGTTGAGTTGCAATCTTCCGAATACATGCTGTCAGCAGACTTCCGCTAGGCTGCCAGGTTTACTCTCGGTCGTAGGATATGTTTGGTCATGCAAGAATTAACTTGAACATGGCAGAAATGCTTTTTTTAATGAAATAAATGTTCGAAATGCAGATGACTTCAATTGCTTTTTATCATTAATATTCTGAACAAAGTTTAGTTTTTCTTATCTGGAAAGCAAAATGATTCTTTAAAAAAACTTGCCCAGTATAAGATTCGTTACAAAACTTTTGAAACTTTTCACGAATACAATTGCAGAAAGTTGTCAGATTTGTGCTTCAGAGTATGGTGACATACACAATTATACATGTGACAGGACAAGTGTATTTAATTTAAAACTATTATTATGCATTTAACAAAACATTTTGACACCAAACAACTGACTAGTCAATAAGTCCAAAATCAACACTATGGAGCTTTCCAAACCCAATCAAGTTGTAGTACAGCCTGGACGAACTGCTAAATGACATTCATATTGGTCGAAATTTTGTAATTTTGACGTTGCGTATTGATTGCGTAACAAATCTGGAGTTGACGTCATCCGTGGAGTGTTTTTTTATGAGGCATTTTCCCCATGACACAAAACACTTCCATACAAGAGTTATGTTAACATGCTCTCGTGTGGCATTACACATTCTGTCAGAATTCACATTATAAATGTCCGATGAAATGGCATAGTTTTCCATTCGAAGACAGATTTGTATATAAAGCCACATCATGTGGGTCTTGATGTTGTTTTGGCTCTTGGAGACTTCATTCACTTGAACATGGCGTTGTAGGCACGGCCGATGATGAGGCGTCTGACCTCACTGGTCCCTGCTCCGATCTCGTAGAGCTTGGAATCCCGCAGAAAACGGGCCATTGGGTAGTCATTGATGTAACCGTTTCCACCTAAGTGAGAATGACAAATCAGTAATGATTCATTGATAAGCAGTGCTCCATCAGGAATGCAGGAATAACCAACTGTAAAATATTGAAGTTGACAATCCAGCATGAAATAGATTTTTGAATGATGTACCATGCAGTAATAAAGAAAATATATAGCAAATTATTTTATTTCCTAGGGTTGCGATATTGTGCACTTGTGCAAAGAGGTACAATGACAAAAAGGAAACATTTTATGAGACTGGGTTAGATCGCGTAAATATATAAATGTGTCGTTAAAACCCGCCACCACACGACACAGCAAGGGTTGTCACGAAAACAGAACGTGCCAATTCGTCTCTAGTACAGCACACCGGTTGTGTGTTGGAGAGCCAAGCCACAACATTTACAAACTGCAAATGCAATTTTTAACTGACTGAGTACGACGTTTCGCCAGGTGTGGCGAAACGTCGTACTCAGTTGGTAGATGTTGTGGCTTGGCTCTCTCCAACACACATTGGCACGGTCTGTTTACGTGACAACCCTTACTAATTGGCTGTCGGGTGGCGGCGAGTTTTAACGACACATTTATATATTTACGCGATCTAACCCAAAAACCTCTATTATGAATTTTATGAGACTGTTGAATATAAGTAAGAGCGAATCCCACAACTTACCAAGGCACTGGATTCCATCAAGAGCCACTTGAGTAGCATTTTCAGCAGCATAGAGAATCACTCCTGCGCAGTCCTGTTTTTAAAAGCATGCATTTCACATCATCAAATGCTGAAAATGTAGTTAACAACTGCCGTACAACATACCAATAGATCATACAAACTATAACATGAACAATGGGATACTATCCTGCAACACAATGATAAAATGACTTATTCGTTTAGTGCAGTGGTTCTCGACTTTCCTGAATTCACGATCCACCATCAACACTTAAAAATATATTGCCAACCCCCCCACAGTTAAAAATTGCATTTGCATTAGAACAACCCAGGACACTTTACAATACAAACTTTGACAACTTAAAAAAAACCATTGTCCAATTAATCCATCACAGGATAAGCTAATGCAAACAAATATTTGTAATACTAAAATGTAAGCATTCTATTATTTCTGCATTCCTGAAAACACTTGTACAGTTCCAAAAGCATAAATTATTTCTAGGAACCACCAAAGGTTGAGGATGCACCGATGTCTAGCAAAAGATCTCTGGCTTCGATCTTTCGCAAATCTTCTGGACAACCGTAAACCACATCCTCACAAACCATGGCAGATGCAGTTACTTGATCCACAAATGTAGAATTAAAAACTCTCCAGTCTGCAACTGTGATCACCCAGAACAGACCATGGAACATCTAACGACTCAATGCCCGATTAAGAAATTCGCAAGCATCACAGCAATACACTCCACTACTTCTGACGCAATTATCTGGCTCAACCACCTCAATGTAAGAATTATATTTGTTGCTCGTCATCAGGCATGTGAAGAAGTGCTCTGGATATAAAAGCATTGGAGCAAAGGGGCAGGGTGTGTGGTGTACTCGCCATGCTGCTGGAGTGATTTCGGTCACAGGCACGGGCCACGTTGTACACGTACGACCGGCATGCTGCCAGCCTGGTGTGCATGTCTGCCATCTTGCCCTGCATAAGCTGGGTAGAGGGCAAGAAAGAAAGGTAGGCGGTGGGTGTGTATACAGTTCATAGAAGCACTTGCCACTCAACAATACACCTACTATATTGTTACTGGCAGGAATGCAGGAAGCCTGCAATGCCACACATCTCTTCCACTTCACAATGACGCTTTTCAGCTCAGTGTCTTCCTCTTCTTAAAATATATCTGTGCATTAGAAGCGACATAGAATGGAAATAATAAAATAATAAAAATAAAGCATAACAAAATAATTCTCACGACGTGTTGGCCACAACGCAAGCAGCCGTCCTCAGGTGGAGAACAGGTCTGTCGAGAAGACAGAGTCTGACCTGTTCTCCACCTGAGGACGGCTGCTTGCGTTGTGGCCGAAACGTCGTGAGAATAATTTTATTATGCTTTATTTTTATTATTTTATTATTTCCATTCTACGTGACTTTACCGAAAGAACCAAGAAGATGAATCCCTGCAGTCACGAAAGCTTTAAATCGAAATAGAAGCGACATAATTACATATTCTGTTACATTTTGTTTGTTAATTCGTTTTCGACCAACTGCAGCTTTTTTACATAATCTGAACTGTCGATTGTTCCCTAACTTAACCATTGTCAGTTTAACAAATAGGCTTCCTGCGACCAATATCATCCATAATCGAGGATTTTTGGGTTAGATCGTGTAAATATATAAATGTGTCGTTAAAACCCGCCACCACCCTGACACAGCCAACTAGTAAGGGTTGTCACGTAAACAGAGCATGCCAATTCGTCACTAGTACAGCACACCGGTGTGTTGGAGAGCCAAGCCACAACATTTACAACATGAGTACGACGTTTCGCCAGTAATTACAACTAGCTTCATCAGGCGACAACCAGATTTGTGGAGAAGTCCACCTGTTTCGTTCCTTATATAGAGGTGTAGATGTGGTGACCACACTTCTTAAATCATATTCACATCATGTAGGCATTGCCGATAAACAGCGAGTCATACAATATCGAAAAAAAAGAGTACCTGAAAAGTGCCGATCTTCCGATTGAAAGCTTCCCTGACATGCAGGTATGGGATGGCATTGTCCATCACTGCCTGCATTATGCTGTGGAATAATCACAAACAATAACAACAAAAACTGTAATGACATAACGTATATGACGTAAGGTCAAAATGTACTTATTTCAAGTCCTTGACCAGATTTTAAGTACTGCTTAGATTAAAGGTGAGCGTTACCCCAGTGGCCCTGCTGCAAGAATGAGTCTCTCAAAGTCCAGTCCGCTCATCAGCACATACACACCCTTGTTCAGGCTGCCCAGTATATTCTTTTCTGCAAGTGGCAAGAACACAATGCAATATGCAAATATAATAAAAGCAATAATGAATAATAATCACTTGTATACCCAGGAAGCCACATCGAGTGATAGGACTATTTTCAGGAGGGTTCTGCATTGTAGGTGTTTATATTAATACGTTCTCAGCCAAATAAAGGAGTGTGTATGCACCAGGGAAATAGTACAACCACTCCACGTGATAATACAAAATCACAGTTTAAAAGCACATTTGAGTTGGGTATATACTTACACAAGATTACCTCAACATGTTATTCTATCAGCTAGTGTGGGTGTGTGTGTTCACAACATGTTCTGACGTGAGTTTCCTAACAGCGACACCGACCTATTGGTGGAATAAGTATATTAGATATTTCAGAATGTTGTCCTGGTGAGAGTCTGCAAGTATTTTTAGCAGGCATTTCAAAAAATTCCTGGCAAGCCATCTTAGATTGAAACATCAATAACAAGCAAAATTTACTGATAAAAACACTATTTTTTATAACTTATAGGATCTGTCCAAAAATGCTGCTTTGATCTAAGATAAATTAATAATAAAAGCCTTTAAAAAATATATACAAATCCATACCTGGCACCTTGCAGTCCTCAAAGATGAGCTCTGAGGTGCTGGAACCCCTCATGCCCATCTTGTCCAGTTTTTGTGCCGTGCTGAACCCTGGCATGTCCTACAAAGCAAAAATCCACAAACACCATCATCATTATCATCATCAAATCATTAGAGCAAAAATGTCTCAAACCTCTAGTTCTTTTCACTTGTATATGTGTACACACATTATAGAACTGGTTGATGAACAAAGCATAAAAGGTTAAATTACGTTGAAATCGGTTTCCCGTCTCTTCACTACATACTCATGATGCAGGACCTTTCACCGCAATGCACAATGTTCTGTACTTGTGTTGCGTTTTCGAGAGAGGAGGTTTTGAAGTGGTGAGCCAGCATATGCAGTAATGTGGACAGGATGTAGAGATGGCCCCAGACAGGAATTAGTGAAGAAAAATCAGACCCCACGAGTGGGAAAACTGCCAGGAAGAATATTAACCTTCTCGACGATGAATGCCGTGATTCCGTGTGATTCTGGTTTCACTTTCAGATCCGTCTTGGCGTACACGATCAGCACATCGGCATCCGGCCCGTTGGTGATCCAGAACTTGTTTCCATTGAGCACGTAGCTGTCACCTTTCTTGTCAGCGCGCAACTTCATGGCGACCACGTCCGAACCTGCGTTGGGCTCGCTCATTGCCAGCGCGCCGATATGCTCCCCGCTGATTCAGCTGCAATCCGACGGGAGGTTGTAAGCACCGTTATTGATAAACGTAACTCGCAACAAACGTTTTGGGAGGCTTATGGGCAACTCTCCATCGCAGGAATTGAGAATTTCTACTTGTGATTCAGGATCACTAATGGAGAAAAGCACTGCTCAACACTAACTTGACCTTTATATTTTTGGATGGCTAGACTGCCAGGAATGAGTGCACATGTGTTTTTATTGTTTCATATTGATACAAATATAGCCTGGAAATTGGCGGTGGCAGGGCTTTTGTGATGCAATTACATGCATCACAGCTTTTGGTAAAACATTTTTTTACGTCCGAGCCATGATTTTGAATAGAATATCTGAACGTTTGGAATGAACCACCTGGGTTGTTTTTGAATGGTTAGCAGGTTAAAATAGCACAAACATTAAAGAATGTTTATTTTAACCTCTGGACACCTTTGATTATAGGAGCAAGGAACGATGTATCAATTAATAAATTATAATACATTCTTACTCAAACAAATCTTGCTTTAACTCATGCGTGCAAGACTTGAATATTAACAAATTCTGGAAATCGAACACCAATGTAGATTTAAGCAAAATTAACAAATAAGACTGATAAAACAAGACAAAACACACGAGAGAAACAGTACAAATGAGACATAGAAAACGAGAAAAAATACTTCTTAACTGAATTGAGGTATGTCACAGCATTTTCTGGCTTATATAGAACAACAATCTAACATCCCTCGAATAAAGTTGAAAATGTGTATGCTTATTCAAAGGCACCTCCGAGTGGGCGGTCCTTTGTTGAAAGGAGTAGTAGTACATGTCACTGCTTTATTACTGTTCAACACGTAGGCTTTCGCAACCAATATTATCCATAATAGGTTTTTTTTGGTTAGATTGCGTAAATATATGACACATTTATATATTTACGCGATATAACCCAAAAAAACCCTCTATTAAGCTTTATTACTATTTAACATTTAGAGTTACTGCTATGCGGCGGTCCGGGTGTGTTAGTGTGCTGCAGCACCTTGGGAAGGTACTTTTTCTTCTGCTGCTCATTGCCATTGCGCACGAGCTGGTTGATGCACAGATTGGAGTGTGCCCCGTAGCTGAGCCCGACAGCGGCTGAGGCTCTGGAGATCTCCTCCATGCAGATTACGTGGTCCAGGTACCCACCGCCTGTGCCTCCATCCTCCACTGGGTGGAGGAAGGACACAGGGAAAATGCTGAACATTGAAATGAGAGTGGAACTTTTATTTGTAACTATCAATGAATGGGTGAGTCCTTTTATCACTGGCGAAGATCCACGGTAACAAACATTAGAAGTTCAGCCTTGAAATTGCTTGCTCATGTAATTACGGTCAGAAATGCCTCTGCTATAGAGAGCCCCTCTAGAGTGCAATTCGCCTACTCTTCCACGCTGGCCAGACGTATTGTAATTGATGGGAGAATGCCCACGGTCCTTCCCAAATGCAACCTGCCAATCAACTAATTGTGGTGCACTCATTTCTACTGCCGAGGTGAGAGCAGCGGGGATTTAAGAATCCCACCCAATGTTTCAACTTTCAAACAGGAGTTCGAACCGGTGGCCTCTGGATTGTCCAGTGTGCAAACCATTACACTATGGCAGCATCCCAGATCCATAAAACCGTAAGTCTTTGATGTCACGAAAACACATTTTTTTAAATAACTCTTAAAACGAGTGCGGGGGGGGGGGGGGGTAATGGAGGTACAGTAGTATGCATACTAGGCTAAGATTCTGGTGACCAGAGTTCAATTCCTGGCCATAAATAACACCAGTCGCAAATGACATCCAAATAGGTACAGGACCAGCTATCTTTACCAATCTGCACTTACCAGCATAGTGATGATGAAATAACTCCCCAGAGAGGGCTCCGAAAGAACGTTATCCAGCAATGGAATGACAATAGCTATACACATTTTTTTTAACCAAAAACAAACCTATTGTTGGGTTGACGATATTGAACAATATTGACAAACAATTGCAAATAGATGGGGAAAAATCCAGTGAAGTTATTGTAAATTAGTTCACTGAAAAATTTAGAACAGTTAAAAATGTATATTTTATAGGTATTATGTTGAATTTTAGACAATGCTTAACATGCCTTTTTTAATGTTAACTTGTGCAGAATTCTGTGTTTAATTGTTAATTAACATTGTCACATGTAAGTAAAAGCTAATGGTGCTAAAGCACTTAAAATGGTTGAGCTGCTTTTGCAAGGCTGTGTTCAAATGTTACGAGGCCACTTCAGGGCACATATGTATTATTAATGAGGAACGTAGAAGCAAAGGGTACGAGTACAAAGTGCATCGGATAAGCTTGAACTTAACGAAACAACTCTTACAGAACATGAAGAATAGTAAATTCATGTTTAAAATGAGCACATATTAAATAAAACAATTTCGCTGACTGTGTTGTGACATGGATGAAGAACGACACACAGTAGTTACTTTAAAAGCAAGTCAATCACTTTGTTAGAGCACATTATCTGACATCTGATATTGCACTGAAAATCTGTAGCCCACAACAATGACTCAGCCAAAAGTACAGAAATTACGCGGTTACCTGGTGCTGTGATGCCTAACACTCCCAGATGGCCAAGCTTCTTCCAAAATTCCTGAAAATTACAAATGTGTATAATTATGTTTTACTTTACCCTTCACCATGTTCACATTATACAACATCTCAAAGGGCCGTGTTCCCACGGCCACAGGAAAGCAAGCTGTTGTTCACAAGGACAGGTGGGGCCCAGCACAGATTCCTACAGCAGCAGCCTTACTTGGTCAAGCCAACACCAACTGCTGGCTTGTGTTTAACCACGTGAATACTTTTCGTAAAGGGGAGCTGCATGCTTCCTTCTGAGCATCTCTTAGGTAAACTCCAGGGTTGGTGTTAATATTATGATAAAAAAGGTGGAAAATTACAAAGACAATTTTATCTTAAAATTGTCTAAACATAACCTAAGCGTACGTGTTTCTTGTTAAACTGTTTTGTAAAAAAAATATTACCATTTATAACATTTTCTTGGTTCTTTCGGTAAAGTCACGTAAAAGGGAAACAATAAAATAATAAAAATATAAAACATGTAAGAAGGGAGAAAGCCAAGATGGACAGAGCGAGAAGGGTCTGGTCCCCATGGAGCATCTCTGCGAGTGTTTGTGATGGGCAACGAGCCATGCTGGGACAAGATTGGAATGAATTTCGATTTAAAGCTTTCGTGACTGCAGAGATTCATCTTCTTGGTTCTTTCGGTAAAGTCACGTAGAATGGAAATAATAAAAATAAAACATAATAAAATAATTCTCACGACGTTTCGGCCACAACGCAAGCAGCCGTCCTCAGGTGAAGAACAGGTCTGTCGATAATACTCTTCACCTGAGGACGGCTGCTTGCGTTGTGGCCGAAACGTCGTGATAATTATTTTATTATGTTTTATTTTTATTATTTTATTATTTCCATTCTACGTGACTTTACCGAAAGAACCAAGAAGAAGATTGGAATGGCCCAGCATTGCTCGGGCCTGCTTCCTCATGGGCATGAGAACTGAGCACCGATTACTTTGCATCAAGTAACAATGCACCCATTGAGATATCAGTCATATTTTTCTTCATATGAAATGTTAACGTCTTTACAAAACGTGTGAATTAGAAATGACTTCAGGAACTTATTTAATTAGCTATTCGCAATTAAAACTTACCTGGGTTAGTGCCAAGGCTAATGGGGTTTATAATAGGGTTACATTGGATTACATTAAGGCTTTAGAGGCAAAGGCCATTTAATTATAATATTTTAATAAGGTAAATGATAGCGATGAGAAATGTATTATGTGACTTTGTGCTTCTTACCCGAATTTGCTTAAACTCATTTGTTCGGTCAATCTCTTGTGCTATGGGCATCAGGTGTTCCTGACAGAACTTGTACATAGTTTGTCTCAGCTGTAACAGAGCACAATAAACAAAAAATAACAGTGAATACGGTTCTAGAGATAAATAACCAATTAGAGAATGCGGTTGTGAGGAAGCTGGTTTTGTCTATGGGTAGTGGTGTTGAATGAGAATATCATCTTAATAATGGGATTATATATTTCTGAAAGGCAAGGGGCCGTCCATAAATGACGTCATGCACCTGGGGGGGGGGGTTGAGAAATGTGACGTCACATCAAAATGCGCAACTTTAAATAAATATAACACGTTCTACTTAATTAAATAGACTTTTTAATAAATGTTTTCTCCTACAACATCAGAGTGCAGCGCCACATTAAATACGCACTACAATGACAAGTTATTTAAAGTTTGTGCATTTCTCAAACCCCCTCGTCACACATCGTCACAAATGTCTGACCCCCAACCCCCCCTAGGTGCGTGACGTCATTTATGGACGGCCTCTTCTACGCACGAGGCAAAGGGTCAATTTAGTTCCCAAGGTTGGCCTCTGCACCGTGGCCACGCCACGCGGGCCCACGAGGAGGCGGCGTGCCACGTGTGTCCCCATCATCATCATCGTCATCATCCCCATCATCATCATCTCCATCATCATCCCCATCATCATCATCTCATAATCATCTCCATCATCATCTCCATCATCATCCCCATCATCATCATCTCATAATCATATCCATCATCATCTCATAATCATCTCCATCATCTCCGTCATCGTCGTCTCCATCCACGGCCACGTGCGATGGCGACGCGTCAGCGAGCGCCGACCAATCCCTGGGCTGGGTCGCACACCCACCCACTTCGCACTAACGTCAGTAATTAAACACACACAGTACTTACTGTATGCTAAGCGTGTAACCTTTACGTAATGTTTTGCCAATCGTTAAAACATACGTGTCAAACGGCAGTGGGTTATATCGGTTAAAATGTAACATGTGTAGGGTCGAACGAAGCGACAAATGCCGTAGAAACCGGCCCAGACTAAAATCCAGTGCAGATGCACAACACAAGACCCACAGGATGAACTTTCATGGTCTGCTCTTAGTTCAGAATTGCATCGGTGTAGCAGCGTATTATATCGAGTGTTATAACACTACAGTTATACTAGTTACACAATGGTTATAATGGTTCAGTGCTTGTTTTCTCCTGGTTCTTCCTGAGACGAAATTCGCAAAGAAGCAGATACAATTGTTATTGCTATCCATGGTGAGGCCGTGATGGTGATTGGTGAGGTCGTGATGGTGAGTGAGTGATGGGAGTGATGGTGAGAGAGTGATGGTGGTGATTGGTGATGCTGATTGGTGATGGTGAGGGAGTAATGGTGATTGGTGAGGGATTGATGATGGTGATTGGTGATGGTGAGGGAGTGATGGTGAGGGAGTGATGATGGTGATGGTGAGTGGTGATGGTGAGGGAGTGATGGTGAGGGAGTGATGGTGAGGGAGTGATGGTGAGGGAGTGATGGTGAGGGAGTGATGGTGAGGGAGTGATGGTGAGGGAGTGATGGTGAGGGAGTGATGGTGAGGGAGTGATGGTGAGGGAGTGATGGTGAGGGAGTGATGGTGAGGGAGTGATGATGGTGATTGGTGAGGGAGTAATGATGGTGATGGTGAGGGAGTGATGATGGTGAGGGAGTGATGGTGAGGGAGTGATGATGGTGAGGGAGTGATGGTGAGGGAGTGATGATGGTGAGGGAGTGATAGTGAGGGAGTGATGGTGATTGGTGAGGGAGTGATGATGGTGATGGTGAGGGAGTAATGATGGTGATGGCGAGCCCCCCCCGCCCCGTGCCTGGATCTGCTCCTCGCTCAGGCCGCTGACGACGTCGTCCACGGGCACCGCGGAGGAGCTGCAGAGCCGCCTCGGCCCCGCCGGCCCCAGCGCCACCAGGCGGCTCAGGGCCGCCCTCCTCAGCAGCGCGGCGAGAGCCATGGGGGGGTGGGGGCCCAACGCGACGGACAGAAGCTCGTGAAGGACACCGACACGACACGAAGCCCGCAAAGCCACCGCGGTCGCTGCCTCGAGCCGCACGGCGCTTCTTCGATGTCGGCCCCTCACCACCCAATCCCAGCAGCGACCCCTGATTAGATTTCCCAGCTCGCATAGGCAAAGCAAAAGGGGGCGGTGCGGAGGGGCCGGCGTCTCCCCGCGCCTGATTGGCCGCTTGTCGGTGAGTGGCGCGCGCTGCAGCGTCAGCCAATGGGGCACGCGCGTGATTGGTTGATGAGGGCGGGGAAGGTGGGGGGGGGGGGTGTCGCTTTAAGCCAATTGCGAGGCGGCAAGAGCGCCCCACCCCCTTTCCCCACTCGCATGTGCTGTATGGAATGTAATGTTGATTAAAGGCTTTCGTAATTGTTGGAATTCATATTCTTTGGGTCTTTCGGTAAAGTCACGTGGAGAGGTTAAAATAACAAAGATATGGTAGCTTGCCATCCTTCTCCAGCTCCATGGTGAATGTGATGGCTGGGTGTATGGAATTGATGTGGTTGAGGAATTGGTTCAGGGCTGGCTGGCCATGTGGCCAGATGACGCACGTGTCATTCACGTGTCCCTTCCACAAGGACGGGCGTAGAGTGGCAGTCTGGATGGCATCTGTCTCAAATGTTTCCACGAAAACATTGGCGACAACTGGGGATAAAGAAGAATCCATTGGGATGCCTTCCACTTGTTTGTAGAAAGTTCCATTCCAGGTGAAGTGTTGTTGAGGCAGTGTCTAACCAGGGCCGGTACATCAGCATGCAGTCCTTGTTGGACACAATCTTCAATGATTGCAATGGTGTCAGGCACAGGAACTTTGGTAAACAAAGAGACTACATCGAAACTAACGAGCAAATCACCTGGAGATAGACTCAGGCATCTAAGATCGGGGCCAGTGCTGTTTGCAGACCTACACAAACACGACAAGTCAATCATACAAACAAGATTAGCAATAAAATACAGCAATAAACATTGCCAAACATTCCTCAAATGCACTTGAATGGCTGTTTTATTGATTTTAACATGAAAGGAATACTGCAGTTCACCCGTTAAGACGTATTTTGAGATACGGTTACAAATATATATTTAATGCGCAAATTCAGCAGGGAATTATGACTAAATGAGGCTTCCACGTGAATTGCATTTCCCTGCCGATTTTGCTGGTGACTTTTAACAGGAACATTTGCAGTTTCCTACGTGTGAATAAAATTGTGATTAACAAGTTCAGTATATTTGAGGAATTTTGAGCTGTTTATTGCTGACCGTGTTTGCATTATTGCAAGCACTGCAGGACACTACTACATACAATGCAAACACGCCAAGCAATGAAACATGATCACGTTGCCCTGTATTCCTCAAATACACTTTGACGACCATTTTAATGTCTGTGTAGTAGCTTGTAATTAACGCGAGTTAACCCCCTTATCATGGACCATTCCTGTTATAGTATCTCGAGAATGTGTGCTTCATTGCCCTACCTTGTGTGTGTATCTCTGACTATTGTGTACTGGACGTGATCATTGTATATCAATGGAGCGGTAGTGGAACGTTGCCACGAACCAGGCCACTCGAGTTCGATTCCTGCTCACGGCCACCACCAACAACCAGTGACGACTATCTAAACCGGTTCTGGACATCCCCTAGGTCGACTCAGCCTCAAATGAGTACCTGGTTTAAGGGCGCTTTATACATTTTAATTATTGGCGCTGTGCAAACATCGCCAATAGGGAGACAAAGGCGAGCGGGCGAGCTATTGACCACCCCACCGCCTCCTGTGCAGTGGCGGCCTTGATAGCTGCTCCCTCGCTAACAGCACTTGCCCCACCAAGTCTGTGAAGGCTGTACGGGGGATCTTTGTCTTTGTACGTCTCCGAGTCTTGGTGTGACCTTCTGACCCTCAGCGCTCGAGTTGACTGCAGGCATAATCCTGTGGCTCTGTTAGGGGACGTTTCGCAAAAAGACTGACCGACCATGATCATGTGCTCTGTAGCATCATTGGCTTAGAGATTGCAGCCTTTATAAATACAATATTTTTTCTCTCATACAAGTTGCAAAGCTCAATATTTATCTTCAACCGGGGTTTTCAAACTCGCTGACCGCATCCTCTTTTCAGGATTTTTCATTTCGGAGGCAAAATCACATTTTGGTTCAGTTTTCGTTAAGAAAAGGGTTAAATCCGGTCCCTCGCTCCGGTTTTTGTTTCGACTCCCTGGTGTGGGCCACCACCACCACCACAATGATTCACCACCAAGGGGAGTGAGCTTGGGTGGGGGCCAATGGGACATTTGGTGGTGCAGGGCCCACGCCAGCAGCCGTCTTTAAGTACTGTAATGTACCCTCCGACACCGAGATTATGTTTTTAATATACATTTTCAGGGGGCAATATGCAACGTCACCAAATGTCCTTAGTACAAGTAATTTGGATATTGTCCAATCGTTAATGGTAAAATCCAGCAGTGGGTAGATTCTGGCTGATTAATCTTTCAACAGGTTACACAAATTAAGTAATTTAGCATGTTTTTGTGGCATTGTAGAAACTCTTTATGGCAGACTTTAATAAAACAAAAACACATTTCCATTAAACATTAATAAAAATTGCATTCAACCACACATGCAAAATAAGATACCTTCATTTACACATTTATATAAAAACAGTACAATCAACATCATCACCAACAAAAATAATGATGTTCAGTGTGCCATGGAGGCAATATGAGCAGAGACACTCTTGAGAGGTTTGAGGAGAATTCAAAAGCGATGCAGAACAAGCTGCCTCTGTTCTGTGCAGTCATTCCATTGAGTCGTCATAGTTAAGTGTAACTGACCAGGAGTACAAAGGTAAAGGCTCAGCCCTGCAATTGCTTACTCAGGCCACGATTGGTAGAAGGGCCTCCACAAGAGGAAGCTCTAGAGAGCCCCATCTAGAGGGTATTTTGGCCTACTCTTCCACGTTTGCTATACGTTTAGAAGAGGTGTTGAGTACCCACACTTTACCCCACCACACACGACCTGCTGATGGATTGTGGTGTGCCCATTTACACTGACAGGTGTACAGAGGCGGCGTGATGTATGAAACGTTGCTAGTATTTCAACTGCCGAGCCAGGAAATTGAATAAAGAGACGTCTCGATTGCCAGTCCAGGGTGCTAATAATGACACAATGGTCGTGTTCCATCGAGTGTTCCCACATGCAATCTCGAGGCTTTTCGTACACAATCAATGCTTTCCAAGCAAACACTTTCAATGTAATCGCATCTTCATGGATCCCCTGTCAAATTAAAAAAAACAAAACATCTGTTCTCTTTGTCCATGCGGTAGCTTGAAACCGAGGCCGAGGGCTTGCCATCATTTTCCAATTTGCTGCCACAGTCCTTCGAGTGACCAAGCCATGGCAAAGAGTCGAGTGTTGATTACCTCCGCTGTGCCACGCTATGAGTCGTCGTCACACATGTATCTTTTAGCCACACCAGCTACTGCATCTAAGAATTGATAGTAGTTGTACTTTATGTCATATTCCATGTCGTACCAAAAGTTCACTGAGGAGAAAACACATTTTGAAACATGATTACTGAAAGGTAACTGCTTTGAAACAATGAGTTAGATTATCGTTGCTCAGGCTAATTATACATATGCAAGTTATTCATATATATTCGGTTTTCAATGATAATTTTACAATTCAACATTTAACTATCAAAATATATGTATATAAATTCCACAAAGTTATTTTTCTATTTTGTTTAGTGATAATTGTTATGTTTTTGGGGGCGGTGGAGCAGTGGCACAAATGTTTGTGCACTGCCCTATGAACTCGGTGACCTCAGTTTGATTCTTGGTAACGGCCAACATGCGTAGATGCGGCACAACATATGCGTGTTTGTAATGACTGCTTTTTAAGTTTAGTATTTTGTACTTCCTCCGCACCTCCGATTAGCACGGTTGGCTACGTACGGTGTGAAAGAAATTCAACCCACATACATACGACTGTGAATAGTTTTGGTCGTGCCGTACCGGCGATGCAGCCATGCGACTGCTGCACGTGGTGGAACCAGAGAGAGGGCAGGTAGAGCGTTTCCCCGGCCCGCAGGGTCACGTGAATGGCACAGGCTCCAGAAAACTCCGGGTACCGGCCCAGGTCAGGCTGGAGGGGGTTCACGGGGATCCACGGCACCTGGCGGGTGCAGAGGGGGCAGGAGGGGTGTCCTTGTACTGTCGGGCCCCTGAGCTCGGTTTAGTTGAGAGCTGTGTGTGGAATCATTGGACATGCTGGCTCCTAACACAGAAATGTATAATTTCCAATACTGGCTCAAGACCACCAATGAAGATGAGTTCTTTGGTGTGTTCATTTGAGCTTGGGAGGGACTTTCACTTTGAATGTTTATTCCAGTAATAATCTATCCATCGAGGACATTTTGAAGGAGTGTTCTACACATGGGACGAAACTGGAGTACTCGGAGAAAATACATACACGTGAAGAGCCAACATTCAACAGTCTACACAAATGGGTTCACGATTCCACTTGCTATACTGTTATTTCCTGGCCGTCATAGCCTCGTAGGATTGAGAGCTTCACAACTGCAAGTGGTACAACAATCCTAGACTTCAAAGTGCCATGCTGCATTCTTGACGTGTGCCTCAATGCTCATGATATGTAATGTGTTTTTTGTTTACTGCAGTACCTTCTCTGCATATTTTTCATCGACGACTTCAAACTCTCCATCCTCACGCTGTCTGTACGTGGCTGGCTGGTAAAACTCTGCAGAGAATAAGCACCAAGCTATGTGTCACGTAGCCAAAACAAGATGAACAGATCAAACCGTTTTATAAGAGGGAGGAGGGGTGGGTGACTTTCATGAAATAATTTTAAAAAGTGGATGAAGGCGAAAGGTGGTGATTGTTATAAAGTGACAGGTATACCGTATGGTATGAAGGGCCGGTCGGTAGGAGGGAAGAGAGTGAATTCCTTCTCTCCTGATATTACGCAGTACAGATTCTCGTAGTGGTCCTTGTGTACTGAAAACATGGGCATATTTATAAGAACCAGGCTTCAATCATCAACACAATTACTGTCATCTTTAAACCTAGATAAGCAGGACTAAACACATCATTGTAAAGGTATATTAAATACTGCATTGTTTGGTTGGGCAAATTAAAGAAGTAATATGTGTGAATTCGAACACAAGGCTTGTTTGGATAACCACTGCTTAAATTGTACTTAGAATGGTAATGACTGGATTCCACTGTGCTTTGTGGCAAAATCGGAACTTACAAGATGTGACAGCTTCTTTCTCTCCAATCCAAAAGTTTACAGCGTCAGGCTTCTTACCTGAACATACACAAAATAAGCGTGAGAGTCAATGACAAAATTCAAGCAAAGGTAAATAAACATCAGCATGTGCACAATGCAATTTGAACAAATGCCGGACTATAGTCAAACACAATATAGGGTGGTCTATATATGGATATTCCACAAAAATAATGAGCAATGATAAGAGAAAACAAACGTTTGGCAAAACCCGGTCCCACAGGAACTGCAACAATATTAATTCACATATTTTATCTTTCAACATCGTCCTCTGTAAGACGCGGTATGTTATGAAGAAAGGCCATTGCTCGAAACAGCCATTGCCAGTATTTTTGACAAATATGCTGAGATTTCTGTAAGATATGGGGATCCATAACTCTCATAATGTTCAATCACACTTTGAGAAATTGTAAGAGGGTCAAAAGAAAGCACTATCTATAAACGGTTCACTGTATATACAGAACATTTTTTTAAATATAAATGTGAGAATACGCCATGCCCCGTGAAGGGTTCCTCATGCCAGGTGTATCCGACGTATGGCTGTTAATTTCACCTGCATCTCGATTCTCAAAAATTGACACATTGGCAATGTTAACACCTGAGGAAAAGAATAAGGTTAGGCACTCACCGAATGCCTCTGATGCCCATGGGATATCAGGTTCCACATCAGCCAGAAGCTCCTGGAACTCGGAAGTGAGATTGGAACATTGCTTCTGAATGTAAAATACTCCACCATTGTCTGAACAACAATGCCCAGAAACACATCACAAATGTGCCTATAAGGGCAAAAGTAACACTTTTACAAAAAAACAATATTGCCTCCCTAAGAGTAGTTTCACGACATACTTTGGGTCTTCTTTTCAAGGATGTCCAAGAATGCTCCAAACTTCATCATTCTCTCCTCTGGCATTACGAAGCGATCACCAAGAACCGCATCCGCATAGCCGTTTGGTGTAACAGCCACGCTCACATCCTTGCTGCCCATGACATTCCTTGATGGTGTAAACATGGACAAGGGAAACACCCACCACATATTACTTATGTGTCACACCATTTATAAATGTTATCACCAGAAACACACACTCCTACTCAACTTCCGGAGCAACAGCTCATAGTTATGACCGTGGTCTAATGAAAACCAAACGTGTTGGTCCCATTTCGTTGGCCTTTATCCACAAATGCAATATAAAAAGGCCAGCTTTGTAAAACCTAATATATTTTTGTATCAATATTGTTACAAGTTTTGAATATTTACAAGTAATATTTTGTGATGTTTATTTTGTTTTAGTGAAAGGAAAAACGCAGGAAAAGGCTGCAACATTGAATGACCAAGCATCAGAGTGGAGATGCAAAAAAAAATGAGATGCAAATTCCTCGTTGTTGTTGTTGTTGCGGTGCTGCTTTGGTCGACGACTGAGGTTGTTGTCCTTACCGCAAGTACGCGGGGCTCCACTTGGTCAGGGCTGCCCAGTGCTGCGTGGTGTGTCTGTAGATCACGGGACGGTTTGGTGTCACCCACTCCCGGAGAAACTCCAGAGGGCTTGGGGGCCCATCCACGTATTGCACGCTGCCATGCAGATACAGATCTGGCAAACACACCACAGGGGTCTGAACTGGAATATTTGTAAAAAAAAATATTCTTAGGTTTTTTCGGTAAAGTCACGTGACTTTACCGAAAAAACCTAAGAATATAAATCCTTGCAGTCACGAAAGCTTCAAATCTAAAAAAATGTATCTCCAGTGTTATCCCAATTACGCTATCGATATTTTGGCATGAGATAAAGAATCAATTCATATAGTTTGCATGCACGTAAGTGCAAACTCGCTCCATGGAGAGGATGGCCTAATTCACGACACTTGAAAAGCCGGTTCACTCAAAGTGTTCACTTCCACCATCCGAAAAGACGACCACAAATATCATACATACGACATCCGTTATCCCTTAACAATAATAATGAACATACATATGGTCTACAAAACTACACACCATTACGATATCGAATACAGGATACGTCTTACAAACACGTGTTACTGTACTCTACATTCAAAGTACAATGCCGTTTCTGGAGGTTCGACTTTTATTTCTAAAGTTTGTAAAATACAAAATTAAATATTATCCCATTAGTAAACACGAGGAATACACTACATTTAAATTTCTACATGTTATATATATACACACACACACACACAAGTTGTACATACGGTTAAACATGCACCAAAACAACCCCAAGTTAATTATATATAGCGCGTGATTTACGGTTTAAAAGTTACACCACGCAGATAAAGTAAAACTGAAATCGTGTCGTGCACGCCGAGAACATTAATTGGAGGTGTAATTGACGCTCAATACCAACAACTGTGACGAGCTGTTGGGGTGAGACAATACGAGTGGTGTTTGACACTCTACACAGTGACTAAACTCATCGTCATCGCAGTTATAAAGGAGTTGAAACGCACCCCTTGCATCCACAGACACGCTCGTCAACGCCTCGTGTAGTCGCCGATGCATTTCAAGTGTAAAGAACCGACCGTGCAGCGTCTGGCGTGTGTATCCCACTTTGTAAAAAGGGGGCTGATGTCAGAAATTAAGAGCCCATCAGCCCCACTGGTCTCACTCGAAAACACGTGTGCGTCTCATTCAAAACCGTCCGTGCGAAAACGCGAACGCACTCCCCGGACAATAAAAATTGGTTCCGCCCCGAGTCAGTTTTCATTTCAGTTTCATTTATTGTGTATAGCCCTGTGAGCCATTCGGCTCTTGAATCGGGTGCAACTACAACAAGCAAAAATATGAACAAGAAAACATCTTAAAGTGACTATGTGCAAACAGAAATCCAAGAAAAGGCAGCAAAATATTGCAGTCGATCTCTCCCTTAAAATGCCAGAATGGAATGAGTACAGTCGTTAATACACGTCTTGCAACTCTTATACATTTAAACAAAAATTACAGGCGGGGTAAGTCAAGCGGAGTTGAAACCCTTCCTTTAAAGCATGCTGAGAAGTAATTTTAGATTAGATAAAAAAACTCACTTGTATTGGAGAAGTGGGAATTGCCAAATTTGCCAGTTATTTAATCACTATCGTTCATGTATTAAATGAAAACATCCCCACTGAGTGTGTGATATTCTGGGGGTAATGGGAACCTACTTCGTGTCAACAGATATGAAATAGATTATAACGTTTTCATTGCTAAAGTACTTTAAGACCAACGGCAGTTCACGTACAAAATCAACGGTGGGAACCACAATCAGTACCACATTTGTGCAGTAGATGTCGACATTGTAATGCGGTGATTGCTAACCACACTCCAATGACAGTCGTGGGGAAGTATTATGACAACTCCTTCAGGGTGTGGGGAGGTTCTCATCCAGCAGATGTTAACTCCCTCGCCTGGTCTACAGGAGGTCGTGGGCTCAACCCCGACCCTGACGCCTGCTGCTGCTGCTGCTGTGTATTTGGAGTTTGCGTGTCTCTCTCCCCGTGGTCGCGTGGATTTTTCTCCGGGTCCTCCGGTTTTCCCCTCCACATTTAGAATCGACATCACACGTGTAGAGTCAGCGGCTGTTCTACATGACCACACGATGACGAGCACCTTCAGTGAGTCATCATTTGTGGCCAGGTCGCTTCTAAAAATAGAGTTACAGAGCTTAGTGGCCCTTATCTGGTATGAATAACACTTTCCATCTTGCAGTTTTTCCATTCGCGTTTGATGCTCTAACTTATAGTTTACATTAACGTCTAACATTGACCCCGTGGCGGTGTCTGTGCATGCCTGTAATCCAGCAGTGTGGAGGCGAGGGTTGGTTGATGACACAACTGTTGCGAAACTCGCTTCCCTGGGGCGTCGTGGAGATGTCACCTACCCTGGCTCGCCAGGGGATCGAGTGTTTCCCCCTCGCACGCATGGGGCTATCAGGATCTTTATTAACACAGAGGAATCCGGTGAGCTAAAAAGCTTCTCTGCCACAGATCAATCAAGTCGGGGCCGGTCAGAAAGTTACGACAAACAGGACAAAATCACGATAGGAGTGCAACGTTTAGGAAAGGCAAGCTAATGACGAAACAAACTTAAACTAAACTATTTTATTTATCAGGTAAAGTCCACTGAGCTATTAGGGGCCGTCCATAAATGACGTCACGCGATTTTGGACGATTTTTGACCCCCCCCCCCCCATCGTCACAAAAAGTCAGACCCCCCCTCAATTATGACGTCACAAAGCTCTGCCCCCCCCCCCAAATAAAACACCCTTCAAATCGCTTTAAACTATTGTCATTGTAGTGCGTATTTAATGTGGCGCTGCACTCTGATGTTGTAGGAGAAACCATTTATTAAAAGTCTATTTAATTAAGTAGAAAGTGTTGTCTATATTTATTAAAAGTTGCGCATTTTGATGTGACGTCACATTTCTCACCCCCCCCCCCCTCGTCACACATCGTCACAAATGTCTGACCCCCACCCCCCCCCCCCCAGGTGCGTGACGTAATTTATGGACGAACCCTGAGTTCCCTTCTCAGAAGCAACCATTGATATGTTCAAATTGAGAATGATAGCTCAACAAAGTGGCTTGTCACGTGTGAATGTATAGCAGCCACATGTAAAACACTCAATACTCGGTCGATAACACCTGAATATATCGAGGACCGCAGAGCCTGGGCAATGGTAGACGCTGACTCACCGCGTGGCAGAGAGAGAAAGTCGTTCCCTCTCTGCCAGTAACAACGTCACATCAGTCCTGCGGGGTTGGATCGCTCAAGGTCGCTAATGCCAGCACTGCCGCGATCAGCGATTTAAATCCAGGCAACCCACTTGTTCACATTAAAGTGCGTTTCTCCACGTTGAGAACATTTCATAGTTTTAATCTTGTATGCGCACTGTATTGATTTTAACTTAATGTAGCCGAGCTCTCGCTTAAGAGCACGACGAAGGTTGAACGTGCATCGGTTGATTGGCACGTGGCAACGAGTTGTTTACAGGAGCATGACGGAGACCTGAGCCAGTTTGTGTTACGCAAGGGAAGCTTCTTGGAGTGACACCAGCAGCAGCTCGGGGTGGTGTCATCTCCCAGCACATCTTGCAGGACATTCATTCCCTCCAGTGACACTTGTGTGGGCGGCACAGAATGATTTTTCTTCACCGCATGACTTCGATGTACACGCGTGTGCAGGGATACGCACGCGGGGCAGTCATTGATATGTTCAAATTGAGAAATAAGTAGCAGAAGCAGCAAACATGTTCACACAGACACTCGCTCAAGCAACGAGAGACCACACGCTTATTGCCGCCCTTGAAACCAGTCGTGACATGGCAAGCGGTCCCTTGCTTGGGTCAATGTTACGTGTTTGTGTTGCTTTATATATCCCAATCTATCCCGAGCCTGTGTTATAATGATCGCTTCACAATCACTGCTCTCCTGCTGCATAGGTGGGGGTCGAGGCTGCGAAGGAGGTGGGGACGAGAGAGAGAGTGGCCGAGGCGATGGATCCTGGTAGCTTCTACTGCGCGTGTGGAGGATGAAGAGTTGAAGCCACCTGGTTCATTCTCCCGGCACAGCCCAGGAGCATTCTTGGGGGGCTCTTGGTCCGACTCGCCAGTGAGCGTGGTGGGAACACGTGGGGCCGCTCAGCTGCCCAAGGCTCTCAGGTCACGCAGGATCCATAGCCTCCTTGAATGAGCGAATCCTCGCCAGAATGTCGGGAGACAAGACCCACAGAGCGACCCCCCCCATCACCCCCTTTATAGACTGAACAAACGTTTGGAGCAAGTGCCGTTAGCGAGCACACGCAGAAGCCGGCATGCCAGCAGCACGAAACGTCGCCTTTGTCTCCCTCGTGGCGACGCTTTACACACCGCACCAGGTACTCAGTTGTGGCCGAGTAGACCTGGTGGCGGCCCAGTATCGGTTCAGATAATCGTGAGCGTGAATTGAACTTGGGACGCCTGGTTCGTAACGCTGCGCGCTAACCGCGACAACGACCGCTACTCACAAGATAAAGGCGCTGCACACAAACGCATGGGCCAGCTCATTCAAGGTACAAAGTCTGTTGCGAGTCAGAGCAACTTTTGATCTGCACACGCCCGTGCATGTGCACCAAGCTGAGTCAATTAATTGCGTTTTCAAATAAGCACAATGAACCCATCGGCTGTTCTCCTGCACATGATTTCAGCTTGAACAATGGGCCAATCTCCGCTCTGATGTCGCATGCAACTGCCCGTAACGATCGGATGCTTAGATACCTACATGCAATATAATTTGGATTGATATCGCCCAGTTGCTTCCCCGACTCCAGTCCTCGCGACACACCACCACGCTCTCAGTCTTTCCAATTTACGCGCCCATTCAAATTGTAAACTAACTCGTTCCACGCTGCACGCGCACGATGCTTGTTAAACACGTCCGACGTGACGCTGATCAGCAATGAAAGCTGTCTGCCCCACGTGGAACACGCGCCACATCGAGAGCTCAATCGTGATGTGAGTCGGCTCCATTGACGCAGGCAGAGTCCATTGCTTAGCGCGTCACGTGGGGCATGTTTAACAATCATCGGGCGCGTCGCAGTACGGAACGAGTGAAGTTGTCTTTGAATGGGAGTACATTGGTACACGCGGAAAGAAGTAGCGTGGTGAGTCGAAAGGAGTTTGTGAAACCCTGTAATAGAGGCAATCGAACCGAAAGAAACATGATTTTTTATTGACCAGGGAAAATGACTCAACGGCACCGGATGGCTGGGGGAGTTTCATATGGGTAGCGACGGAAAATAATACACATCTTAGTGAGCAAAGGTTGACCGGAGGCTACAAAAGAATGCATGGGTTTCTGTAGTGGAGACTGCGTATGGGAGCAGGGCGAGATCAGAGGGGCTAGGTAGGCAGGGGTGAGTTTCACGAAGTGTGAAATTGATCAGGAATTGGATTGGGAGCCAGTGCACGATTTAAGTCTTCGGTGTGATGTGCTTTCATTTTTGGTTGCAGGTGAAAAGTCTGGTAACAGGATTGTAGGGTTGGGGGATTTGAAGAGCCTGTGAAGGTGAGAGTTGAGATGGGGGAATTGTAGAGGCCATAAACGAGTTTAATCGTCGAGTCAAAATGTCATAAAAGCATGGATGAGGGTATAATTGGCAGCTGGGGGCGGATATGAGGTCTTCGACAGAGACATGAGATGCTGTCGAGATGTGAAAAGGGAATGAAAGCCAAGGTTCACTGACAACGGAGCCCAGATTAGCGAGTCTAAGGGTTAACACCATTAGGCAGCGTTACATCAGTTTTTCATGCACGCTCACAAATAAAGTATTACCGATGGTTAATTTTTTGCCTTGGAGTACTTCTGTTGAAGACTTTCTGCAACATTCCGCTGGAAGGTCTCACCCACCATCGAGTCTGTGCTGTCAACTCTCGTCCTCGTGGTCTGCCATGGTGCAACGTTCTGCGATTATCAAGGGCTGGCGAAATGGACTTTGATAAATACTGCGCTGCTGTAGTGCAGAGTATTTATTTGTTCACCGCTTGAATCAGTTTTAAATGTCGTACATCACCTTCATCCGCACGTACATTTTTACCTAAATAATTTTGCCCCTTCATGTTTACAAATAAAAATTATAGAAATTTTTACGGGTTAAATCATAAATGCAAAATTTGTTTTAAATTGGACCAGTTGGCTATGCACCTGAATCTCGAGATTACCTGTCCACATTCAGATATCCCTCGATTTATTAAAGGGATACGTTTTTTGCAAAACATGCATAAAACGATATTTTGTAAATCGAAATGGGTTTTCCGATTAATTTAATACAAAATATGTAGGGATGTGTTTCGGACAGTCATTCGAACTCGCCTATATACACCTACGACTTTTCACAATACGAAACAAAGGAACATGGATATTAAAACGAATGGAATAATTAAAAAGGACAATGATTAACCTTTGCAGGAAACTCGCCAAAAGATCTGCATGTTGTAATGACTGGCGTAGGTGACGTGGAGGCATCACTGTTTTGCATTGTGCAGATACCGCGACTCTCGTGGGTAGATGCCGCAGCCTCTCCCCCTTATGCTTCTTGTTTGATCTCACGGCGCATTTCGGAGTGACATTTCGTTCGAGCAGAATTTTCAATTTCGTTCATCGAAAAAGTGTCCGTAATTTGTCAATCGCGTTCACGCGAATGTTAGGTAAACCGAAGACCTGCACAAGCGCTTCGCCATTGGGCAGCTATGACCACAGGTCATGGATTGATTGGGCTTCATTCGCTCACATTTTATTTCATCACAGATCATGTGTATTGAGACCCACGTGACGCCAAGACTCATTCAAATCCAAAGCAAGAACAAGGAGGTGAAGCCAACAGTAATTGCAGCTTTATACAAAGTTTTATTCATGCTATTGTCTCCACAAATAAAAGCAATCATTCACGACATATATTGTTACATGACTCACATTATAGCAATTACATGCACAGCAAAATTAATTTAACTGCGTGGTCCTTAGTTTTGATCTATGAAGACGGCAAGGTGATAAATACACGGAAATTCGCCAAGCATTCTGCAATTCAGAATGCATATAATGAAACCGCAAGTTAAGGATCCCAAAGATAAATATATCTCCCAGAATGCTTTTGTTCAGATTAAATATGCTTGTATATCATTTAGCGTGCTAATCCTAAACATACGTTTATTATCGAGTAATAGTTCATTATGCTTACTTCAACTCTATACGACTATAAACTGGCGTTATGTCAAACGATGCTTTTGCATATGCATAAAATTGATGCATTAATCTTGCTCACTGGCTATGTTGTGTACATTAAAACAATTGCAATACTGGACTGTGACATTCATCTATTCAACGTCCATAATCTCTGCTTTCCAATCTGAAATTCCAACACTCCACACCAAATTCTTCAGATGTTTGTGTCCAACCTTTAAAATAAACAAAACCTGCACTTCCCTCTACGCATTACATTTACACTTTCAAAATGTCCTTCGAATTAAACCACTGGCAACTGATGTCAACCGAGTTTCAATGTTCACGCCATAAAACACATTCAACCACTTACAAATAGTTCATAATTTAAACATCTAATGGACACAAAGACACAAAAAGACAAAATGTAAATTAAAAAGAACTTGCAATGAGGCATATTTGAACAAAAGTTATTGCACATTAATAACGTGGAATTAATTTAAGCAAATACCACTTGACATCACAGCACAAATTAAACTGCTAATATGTAAAACACGACAGTGCCACACAGCTGATTAGACCCATTTCACATCAACATAATTTTAATTTCGTAGGTCGTGGCTAAATTGCCCAGACTAAAGTCTACATCAAACCCGTTGACCACTGCAATGTAAATCTCTGCCTCAATTAGTGTGGCCACGTCAATTCAACGGGAGACCCAATTTGAAGCATTAGTTTCAAATGTTTGAAGAATGTTTGTAACAGGTTATATGGAGCATACTCCGATACAAATAAACATCTGCAAAATAATGCCGACATTAACGCAATCTAACAAATACAATAAATATAACATGTAATGACTCCATTGTGTTCCCATTGATCAACTCTGCCATAATACTGTTCCATTTGCAACGGTTTCAGTTGATAACATCTCAATTGAATCTGGTTGAAGTCGCAAATCTGACAAATTACCATTAGTTCTACAGCTGCTCACTAATTTTCTAGTTTTAACAAAAGTGTTTAAAAACAAACTAAGTTTTATTAACCATGTATTGTATTTCATAGAAACAGATAGAAAACAACGAAAGTGACATGAACATATTAAAATGGAAGCCAAGTGTTCTTTTTACCGAAGTGTTATACACAGACGTGAAGATTAACTGCTTGTAAAGCCCTGGTTTTTAATATTAAAGATACAGAGTATATAATTACGTATATGTCCTTTGTGAATTGTTGTTTCTTTGATGGCTATACAGTAGCTCTACTGCATAACATCGTTGATTTATTACCGCAAGACGGCTGACCACCGAAGATGTTTGTATTCACATCTCGCCATCCACATATTGTACTGCAATCTCAGAACAGCCAGACTAAAACTTAACAGCTAAGAAGCGTTTTATGAGCACATTTATTATTATTTATTTATCCAACCTTGCTTTTAAATTATACTTGCACTGAAAACCACTCCAAACGAACAATATTGAAATTGTGCGATTAAGCAGATGGAGGGGGAGGGGGGGGTTCACAAGCACTTGCACCTAGTCAGCTGAGCAAGGATGAGCAATGCAACACTGACCCGCGATCAGCTTGGTATTGTCACAGAATTAACGGAGACAATCTTTCGGGGTCTATTTGTGGTTTCTTCACAGCAACGTTTCCCAAACTATGGTCCTCACTCTCCACCACAGTACGCCTTTCCACGGGCACAAAGCACCTCAGTTCATGTACAAAATTAGGTTGTGACAAACGTCATGCATATTCTTGGTTCTTTCGAAATCGAATCGTCTCACGACGATTTGATTTCAACTCAAGCAATCATCAGGTGTGAAAACCACAAATGTTCTTGCTGTGGTTTTCACACCTGATGATGATTGTTTGTGTTGCAATCGAAACGTCGTGAGAATTAAAGTTTTATTTGTATTATTTTATTATTTCCCTTCTACGTGACTTTAACGAAAGAACCAATAATATGAATCCCTGCAGTCATGAAAGCTTTAAATCGAAATTTATACGTCATGCACTTGAAAAATTGCCTTTTCGACAGACTGCCAATTCAAGAAAAACAAATGATGTGTGTGTATCACACATGACGTAGTTTAGAGTGATTAGAACATAGATATAACGTGTGCATCTGTGTGCATAGCACAAGGTATGCAGTGCACCGATTCAAAGGAAAAGTCTCTCTACCCTATCCATGGTGGAGTGGTGGCACAGTGGTAAGCACCTTCAATCCAGGAGTGGACTGATAAAGGGCTCCAGCCAGTAATCAAAGCAAGCGGTGGGTCGTAAGAAATGGTTTGCTAAACCCTATGATGCTTCAGTTAAGCACACTGATGATGAGTGTTGTGGTATAGCAAAAAAAAAAATCAACACTGAAGGCCAATGCTTAAAGAGCCACATCAAGGTGACATGATGAAGCCACATGTACCAGATGGAGGTTCCTTTGCTACGGCCATCAGCGTGTGTGGCAAGACACAACTGGGGGATTCAGTATACAGTACTTGAAACATGCATGTTTGTTTAAAAAACAAAAAATATAAAGAGTTGCCCTGTACTGTTATTTTGGCACTGAGCTTGGCAGTCCAGACCTGATTTAGCTTCTTGTTTAAACACAATTCATTACGTACAATTACAATTCAAGATAATAATCATAATGTAATGTAGTATTACCAACAGCTCTTTCATAGATAAAGAAGAAAAATACTGTGAAGATGTTGTTCTTACATATATACCAGTTATATAACAAGCAGAGAAGCGCACACACACACACACGCAGACGGCCATGCACTAATATTAAAATATCTGCTCTATTAATAATTATGCCACCTATGTAACACGTTTTCTAACCTGGTAACAAAGTTTGACTTTTAAAAGCTTTGATTTGTAAAACATTTGATATCAGTAAAAAGGGGAGCATTGACAATCAATAGCTGGAAGGTTGGCTCCATTTCCACAGGGGTGAGGGCATTGACACTCCTGCCTCCATCAGTATCACGGACGTCGGAATAATCATCAACTCTACTCTGTGACAGACATCACCGATCGTATGGGAAGGAGGACAGTTGTAGGTGCAGCTGTGCCCTTCGCTGTCAATGTGCTTGCTGTGAAGAGTAGGGCCGGATTAGCACCTGCTGCTGGAATGGAGCCAAGTTAACAGCGATGGAATTTTGAGATGAGTGACTTTGCTTCATGTGTGGGTGTTCCAGGGCACGACAGCTTACGTAGGACACAGCACTAAAAACAAACAGAAACAGACACACAGGGCATCAGCATCAACGAACTTGAAATGTGCACTTCTAATGAAGAACGTTTGATCCATTGGAAGACTATGGAAATTGAAGTTTTGCGTCGCATGAAAATAAATAAAACGGAAATAATAATGAGAGAATGTTTGATTTACTGTACTTTGATATCTGGCCTAATTTCACTGCAAATAAATTAAACACGTAAGTTTTAAATAAACATTGTTAAGTGTTCTAGGAATCTGCCGTAATGACACTTCTCAATCCCATTCACACTGTCCTTACACCAAACGGAACCATCGAATGACCATATGAATGAACCACTAATTTGATATGTCACAATTATCAGTTGACATGGAGCTCGGCCACACCAGTAATGGCAAATATTCATTGAATTATCCAAACTTCAGAGTATCCAGACTGGATAATGATCAATTACATCTGTAAATAATGCATTCCAATATATTGTCAATATAACACATCCATTCAAAATCTTAAATGTTACTGGGTAAAACGATAATACAAGTGTAACAAATAACAGTACAATGTTACATTTCATTGTTTGATAAATTAAAACTGCTTTTTATGAGTTTACCATTTAAAACAGTATTTTTTTAAAGTAACGATTGAAATGATACTATACATATTATCCCTGGATTAAAAACCTAATCTTACACAACTCTGTACAAGAATATAGCCTTCTAAATTAAGGTCTGTTTTAAAAATGACTTAATAGAAGTACCTCCATTTAACTAGGTTAAAGCCCAATTAAGTATCTTTTGGCAGGATGATCACGATTTCATTTACCAAACAAAATCATGCTAAGCGACGTTGAAAGGTTGTATCATTACCTCAACCAACAACTCTGTAAGGGCATAGTGTAGCCTTGGATGCAGGAAATAGCAGGCAATCAACATAACATTACCAACATTATAACACAACCCCCAAAGCGCGTAAGATGGTAAAGGAACAAAACGAGGGATAGAAAAAATTGCACGCATATTTAAATAGCATAAACTAGGTCAAGCACATCGATATAAAATGGTCTCATGGTAAAGGCCTCGACTTTTGCAATGACTGCAGAACGATTCGTGTTATCAAACCGCAAGGGAGCTCATTTATAAAAATAAAAAATATCATATTCCGTTTCATGAAAACCTAAGCCCCTATTCAGCAGACTTCACAAATATCATTGAACAATGAAGTTGAAAATGTGCCAAGTATGATTGTTTATCTTTAGATTTTTGGAACACGTTATCAAGAAGATCCCTTTGTGGAATATTGCATTTCAGCTTGTCTCGTTTCTTCAAAATTGTTCGATAAGCCTCTGAATTAAGCAGTCTTATCAAACTTACAACAGACATTCTCTGAAATGGCAGTTCCAATACCAATCCAATAAATGTGTACATGAGGTACATTGGTCAGCACTAAAAGTTATTTAGTGACTGCCGGTATTGTTCACGGTTGTGTAAAAACGTTAGGCAATGACCCCGTCTCGGACAGAAATTCTGTGGTTCAATGGCAGATACAAAACTACATCACCTCTCTTTAAAACTAAAATATGTTATACATATCTAACTGCGTTAAAACAAACCTAGGCTTGGCCTTATATTTTAAAATATTTCAAAGAACAAGAATCATTACGAGGGGTTAAAAGTTAAAGCGCCGCACAGATTTGATAAAATATCTATCTATTGCTGCCATCTGGCCACTTTAATCCAAGCCTACAAAACTTTGTATTCCAAGCCAAGCCAGGCTTCCATCAAAGTACTAACTGCTTAGTCAGTCACATGAATAAATCATTGAAAATTTCATTGGGAGTGTTTCAGCAAACATGTTTAATGCTATTGTGCATGAACAATTTAATTTAATTAAAATTTGTCTTCCTCTTATGGGTACATTTGCAATATTATTAAAATTGTGGGTAGAAAATATTTGTTTTCAGTACCACATTGTTGAAAAATTACATCAACTCATCTAACATCCTCACTATACTTCTCTGCAGCTATTAGTAGTAGCAATGTGCTATCAGGCTGCAGCCTTTGCTGCTTATTATCTGAAAAATAAAATAAAAAAAAACGTGTACACATTCATCTTGAAAACAGACAACTACTGTAGGTACACAAAGCACGAGACAAGACAAGTCCACAGGGCTTAATGAGCAAAGCAACGATGAAACGCATGAAAGGTCAACAGAAATCGGCAGCACCCCTGACTTGCATTAATAAGCTGTTGTTCATCAGTGACTACATTTTATTAACTTGATTGCTTAATTGGCAAATTTGCATTCTCAAATGCTTTTCAAGGGCTGGATTTTCTTCTGATGAACTGGTATTGCATTTGACAAAAAACACCACTATCATTCAAAACAATGTAATAATAACTATAAAATCATGTCTACATCCACACTTATGACGCGTAAGGAAATGATGGCCAATTGTGATTGGAATCAAACAGCACTGGCCACGATTAGCTCTTCACCTTGACAGAATGCGTCGCTAAAGCAAGGCAGGGGTTGCAGACTTCCGTCCGTCAAGGTGAGAAATGGGCTGACTGGGGCGGGGTTCAAGGTTACGCAAGCGGACACACAGCTGGCTGCCACCAGCACGTCAACACACAAACCTTAGGGCAGGGCAGAGGTACCACAGTGCCCTCATGTTGTTCCGCTATCACATGACTGCTAACGTGGCATAAACAAACGATACTGCGAGTCAAACAAAGCGTCACAGGAACTCCGCGTAACGAGAGGCGAGGGTTGCAAGTTGCGAGATATTACAGCACAGCGTGTTAGTTAAATGGGAAAACAAACTGGTCATCGTTATCAGACTTCAGAGGAAGCGGTCATTGGCAAGCAGCGCACAAACCGTGCAAGATCACGTCAGTTTGAGAAAATGTCAGTTGCCCTGTGGACATTGTCAACTAGCTGATATGAAGAGCTTCAAGACAGCATCTGGGAACAATGGCATCTGGGCTGTGATGGAGTGTTTTCCATTGGATGTTTTGATTTTACTGGCAAGAGAGACTTCAAGTGGGGTTAGAAGAACAAGGCTTTCCAGGAAAGGGCATTTTAATGCAAGGACATGAGTGCGCATCAACAGGAAATGACCACCCATTGCTGCTTCATTTATATAGAGTATAATTAAACTATAATATGTATAACCAGCAAGCTCAAGGTGAATGCAGTGGTGTTATTAATGTGAGTGTACAATATATATCCAAGATAAAATGAGTAACACCTAACAATTTCCGTGAATTATTCATCCAGCTGTTGGCCAAAATGACCATATTCTGTCTCCCTGAAGTACAATTATTGTCGAGTTTTTTTCTTTGCTGTTTTACACGTTAATAAAGAAAGAACGTGTTTAAAAACATGTTTGCCTTCGTTTCACAATAACTGTGGCTTGCAGAAATGTTGTCCATGCAGGAGCCTTCATGACAATCCAACTCATCCTGTTAACATGCATGAAGGGAACTCCCAGCGGAATACAAAAACAAACTAAATCTCAGCGCCAGCATAATTGATGATGGTTTGCAGCTGACACAAATCAGCAATATGATGAAAGAGATTATTAATAGACTGCCATCTCCGACAATTATCTGAAGGCAATATACTTAAATGGCTCAAAAGCTAAATTATTTTTACATTTTGCATCTGTCAATTTATTAAATCAATCCATCAAGCACCAACATAATTTGATTATAAACCTTCATGCTAGCAAACAAGATAACAAATGACCATCATGTGATGCTCACCTTTTAGAATGTAGTCGGTTAGCAAGCTGGGAACTCTGTCACTGTCATCCTTCATTGCTTTCAAGACTGTTGGTGGCATTTGCAATAAAAAAGAGCAATCAGCATACATTGTTTTCATATGAAAAATACTAAAACTCAATAGATTTCTGGGGCAGATCGCATGACAAGGTTTTCCTTAAGCTATATTTTTTGTAAGCAGTTTATGCTAATCTGAGTTGGATAAATTAAGTAAAACTGTGGGAAGTAAGTGGCTGTGTTCAAAAGTGGCCCTGCTATATTTGTAATTTCCACATTTGGAAAATTTGCATTTATTTATTGAACGAGGGAGCTTAGAGACACTGAAAAAAAATGCAAAACATATCACGGGGAGATTTAACATCTGCATATAAATCATGTTCCAGGGCAAAATAATTGTCTGCAAGGAAAAAATGATCGAGATGGGTATGAAAGACAACCACTTTTATCGCCGCGTTCAAGCTGAAACCGCATTGGCAGCAATCATTTTGTTCGCGTTTAAAAGGTAGAACTTGTTGCATGTGGCTTGAAGCACACATTGTAGCTTTTCCCTCTTCAAATTATATGAGAACCCTGCTATCAGTGTCATGTCATGAGGCAAGGAAAATTCCATTCAGAACTCTCTGTACCTGCAGTACACTCCCCCCTTGTGTCAAAACGGCCGCACAAGATGACACCGCAGAACTAATTCAGAAATCTATTTAATAGGCGTCTTCATCCACTCGAGGGAAACAACTTTTAATGTGTTCTCTGCAAGTCAGATTGATTTTTTCGTGTGCAAAGGAACATGCCAAATTACATTAAACATCTAATTTAAATGAATGAATTTTTTTCAGCATCACCGGCTGGATTAGCACCCAAGATCTAAGTGGTGCTGACTCACAAGTCTGACATGGCAATAGCATCCCAAGCCACATCATCCCGAACCGGTGACGCCTCTCTTTTCCACTGCACAACCGAGCCGTGCCAGGGCTGTGACGAGTGTGCCCAGCACGGCTCGACAGGCGCTGGTTTGTTTGTCCACTGCAGAACAAAGCCCTGCCGCTCACATCGCACGCAATGTATGAGTCAAGAATCATGTGGATGATGCAGTGATGCTGCAGGGTGCCGCGGTGGCGAGATGTTAACTACCTCGCCTGGTATACAGAAGGTCATGGGTTCGATCCCGACCCTGATGCCTGTATATTTGGAGTTTGCATGTTCTCCCTGTAGTCGCGTAAAATTTTTCTCCGGGTTCTACGTTTTTTCTCTAAACATTTAGAAATATTCGTTTACAGTATTTGGCTGCTATGTAAATTCCCACATGATAAGCCATTTCGTTGAGCTATCATTTGTGGCCAGGTTGCTTTTGAAAAAGAGCTACATATCAAAAAGGTTTTAAATTGATGTTGACTGACCACCGTCATGTGCAATGAACATGTGGTTAGCGACGCACCTTGCCCTGCTTGGCCCCACCGAACCAGATTTAGATTACCACGATTTGGCTTCGAGTCGGCTCGGCATAGCACAGCAAATATTCAGCAGGAAAACCACCTGTACCGTGTGGGCCCAGAACTGGCCCGGCCCGGCTGTGCTAGTGGAAAAGGGGAATTGGCCACCTCCACCCATCCATGCCTTACTCTTAATGAGGACCTGCAGCTGCTGGACAGATGGTGGCTCTTCCTTGTCTTCATACGGGATCACGGTCGTCAAGTACTGTTGCCATGACACACACACACAAGGAAACCGCACAGTGAGAGCATTCACGGCTTAATCACATTGCCCTTGCTCTCTTGATACAAGTTAACGTTTGACAAGTACAAGGCCCGGCATGATGGTGTGTTTTGCGGTAAGAGAGTGCAATTTAAATTGGTTTCATCAAGGACATCCATTATTGTTTTAAACAAAACAAAATGTACGATTTTACACAATTATTGGGGAAAAAAACGTGTTGTATGTTGTCTGCAAATACGAAAATGGCAGTTAGAGAAATGCATTATTCTTTCACGACCCAAAAGTGCTTTTTTTTCAATTTTATAGTGCGCACGATAATGGCCAATTCAACAAAGGTTACAATTAGCATAACACTTTTAAAAGGGCCTGCTGAACCTTTGTAATTAACGTTACAATAATTACAAAATAAATAATTACAAGCTCGAGCACAGCACAAAACATACTATTATGTCCAATGAAGCATGCGTGCAGCTCAAAACATGTATAAGCATCATCAAGATCACTGCAAACAGGATGCATCTCGGATGCATGGCGGTTTGTCTTTTCATAATTTACCTTTCATAAAAAATGTAAGCACTGTAAGCAATCCGCCTGTGTTATAGTTTACAATTATGACCGTGTAGGCCAGCCAGTGAAAATACATTTATATTAGTACTTGCAAGCAAAACCATAATTGTGCATCGTGCCTTTGACACAGCTTTGTACAGTAAGTGGTTCCAGAGTGCAGCACAAGGTAATGCTATATTGATGTTCTGCCATAATTGTGCACCATTTTGTAGGAAGCCCAACCAAAACAATATGAGACCATTTGATTTATGGTGTGTTCATAGTACAGATTGGGGTTGAGTGGTGGCGCAGCGGTTAGCGTACCGCACTGTGACACTAGCAAACCTGAGCTCCATTTCCAATCACGGTAACATGAGTAGCAAGGGATCTCAGAACTGGTCCCAACCTGTACTGAAAAGCGTGGTGAAGTATTGTTTAACAAACCTTATGACCAATATAGTATCAAGCAGTCCTTTATCTAGCAGCGGATTTACAAAGGGCTGTAAATGTTATACATTTAATTTTTTATTATTATAGCTCCAGTGATACAATTCATAAGAGCTAGCCACTTCAAATGGACAAGGAGCTTTGAGTGGCATTAATGGACAAACAGCGACACTCCGGAGAAATGTTTCTTGCACTTCAATCCACAAACTACCAGACATCAGATTTTCACCATTCAACAGATGCACAAAATAAATGATCTAATTTACTCCTGAATGGAACTACTGACTAACATGGAAAAGCTGCCCAAAGGAAATATATAAACCATTGCTATGGAGCAGGGATGGGGAACCTATTGCCAACAGGCTGGATATGGCCTGCAATTTCATTTTATGTGGTATATGGCCAACTGAGACGTACTTTAAAACTGCCTGCAAACAATATTCCTGCATCACTGAAATAAATATTTTAAAACAATACATGGGTACTGGAAGGGAATATTTTTGATCTGGACAAATTGTTTCTAATCGAAATGCATTCTGCTCCATCATTGCAAGAGCCTCAGAATTTGCTGAGGTATGTGTGTATATACCCAGGTTAGTGATACTGCTATAGAGCTGGTTCCTGAATTTAGTTTTGGCAGTGAATATTTCTGGAGATCGGCGGGGAGCTCAAGCTCGGATGACAAGTAACCTACTCGTGTTTTTATGGCCACCACAACACCCTGCATCCTCCAAAAGTAGGAAATCTCCGACATCACCAAGCTCAGCCCATCACCTCCCATCCAGCAGGACACACGTGGGGAAAAAAAAGGTGAGTAATTTTTCAACTATTTTGTTCCTATCCAATAAATTGATAGAGCAATTGATAATTTAATTATCCAACTAGCCCTACCGTAGCATGGGTGCCACAATAGCGAGATGTTAACTACCTCGCCTGGTATACAGGAAGGAGGTCATGGGTTCAATCCCGACCTTGACACCCGTATATTTGGAGTTTGCACTGTTCTCCCCATGATCGTGTGGATTTTTCTCCGAGTCCTCCAGTTTTTCCCTCCACATTTAGAAACACGCGCTTAGGAGTATTTGGCAATTATAAATGTCCACGTGATAAGCCGCTTCTGTTGGGTATCATGTGGCCAGGTCGCTTCTGAAAAAGAGCTATACAGCTCAGTGGGCCTTACCTGGTAAAATAAAAGTTGTGAGAGTTATCTTCTTGGTTCTTTCGGTAAAGTCACGTAGAATGGAAATAATAAAATAATAAAACATAATAAAATAATTCTCACGACGTTTCGGCCACAACGCAAGCAGCCGTCCTCAGGTGAACAGGTCTGTCGAGAAGACAGAGTCTGAATCTCTGTCTTCTCGACAGACCTGTTCTCCACCTGAGGACGGCTGCTTGCGTTGTGGCCGAAACGTCGTGAGAATTATTTTATAATGTTACATTTTTATTATTTTATTATTTCCATTCTACCTGACTTTACCGAAAGAACCAAGAAGATGAATCCCTGCAGTCACGAAAGCTTTAAATCGAAATTGTGAGAGTTAGTTAGAGCTCACTGTGCCAGGCGCAATGGTCCCCTTGTCACGGCGGTGGCTTGGCGAGGCACCATTGCTTCTCCTCTTCTTCTTCATGATGTCTCGGAACTCCTTCTGCTTGTTCTGCACCTCCACCAGGGCGGCGATGAAGCTATTCTTCACCTCCTTCTCGAACTCGAGCTCGTCCCTCAGCGCAAGCTGCTGGATGAGTTCCTCAGAAAACGTGCGAACTGCTGTCTCCATGTCCTCCAGCATCTCCATGAGCCGGGCCACAGACAGGCCCTTAAGCGCTGTCAATGGGCAATGGGCATACGTTAGTACTCCGCAGGCACAAGATCTATGAAGAAAAAAAGGACCGTCTTAAGTCATGGTGATGTTACGACTGATAAATGGTTGAGTTCTGCATAAATGTGCTAATGCTCTATTGAACACGTGCTCCCATAGCACACTTAGAGAACATATTCATGGCAGGGCACGACAACAGCTGAAGTCCATCACAATGTGAATCAGTTGTGAAAACAATGTATGAGCGGAAACTTATTACAGCTGGTACAGTGCATGAGATAGAAGTGGAGCTTAATATATATATAGTACTCTGCCTTAGCATCCCAAGCACTGGCTGATACAGTACACCCAGTGCTATATTTCTTTTTTGGAGACAACCCACGGGGAGGGCTTGACACCTGGCAAACAAAACAAATGCCCGCAGTGCACATGGGCTGGAAACCGAACCTGTGTTTCTGGAAATAAAGAACGAACGATCGGGTCGAGTGAGCCACTGGTTCAAACTCACCGTCAGCCGGCGCACCCTTGTCAGACACGGGAGACTGCTTGAGAGCTGCCACCTCCAGGGAGAGCAGTGAGAGGCGGTCGGACTGGCCTGGTGTCGGCACACCCTCTGGCTCTGGGTCTGGCGACTCCTGCATCATCTCCTCGAGCTCCTCAATCACCTGCCACAGAAGACGGCGCACGTCGAACGAAATCCACCATAATTGGAGTGCTGTCAAAAGTGTACGTGGGCCGGTCACAGTGTCACAAGAGACCGGGGCCTCGCTGCTACTCCATTCCCCAAACATGTGGGTTGGTGGTTCGTGAGGATGGATGGTGGTGATTGTGTAGATGGTGAGACAGGCTGGTTCCTCTGCTTTGCGGTGTTGCTGGACCTTCCCTCGGACTCTTTACTGATACTCGGGTTGTTGGCTGGTTTCGTGCTCTTGTGATGTCCTTCATTTGCTGTTCTTTCATGTCTATTATATCTATTTCCCCTCGACCTTTTCCCCTTTTTTTATCCCTGTCATGGCCGTCCATGCACTTTCCATGGTTTCTGTGTTTTGTAAGAACCATCGAAATGCCACAGCATTTAAGCGCCCTATGAATGCGACCCTTTATCTTTAAAAAGCACGATTAATCCACGAACAGATGGCAACGTTCCACCCCTACTCAACATGGAGCACGCCGGTTACTACAAATTATACAAACTTGGTGAGTCTAGTGGGTTTGTCAACAAAAAGTGAGCCCCCAAACAGATGAATTATTCTTCAAATGGCTCGAGTCCTTCAGTAGCAGGCTAAGGTATGTAAGTGATTCCATCATCCCAGGCTACCTTTCGATCTGGGAAAATAAATGTAACGCAGCGCATCACTAAAATTGGGGTGGAGGGCAATTAAAGAATGTCACCCAAGCACACATCATGTTTGCCTGTTTAACATTTGAATGCTTACTGTGTGTAGATTCGGCAATACGTAAGCATATGGGTGATTCACGGTAATAGAATTGCAAAAGCAATGTTGGCACAATTGATACCATGAGGGATTTTAGCTCTTTTGTGTCTTACTTATGCATCACATCAACCCATCCCGTAAACACATTTAGAAACGATAAAAGCCTAAATGATGCTACGTTAAATAATAATTATTAGGTTATCTGTCTCGTGCAAGCAACCATATGTTATTTGCAAGAGTTAAAAAGGGTTTATTTGCTTAAGCTTTTATCCCCACTCCACAACAGGCCCATTTTCTGGCACATTCATAGGCAAGTGAGCCATCATCGCATGCCAGACACATGTAGCATTGGGGGGGGGGGGGGGAGGGATTTCATCAGGCCACAGCTGTTGTCATTGGCACACCACTGGGTGCTCAGCGATGACTAAAGTAGAATGGATTTGCCACCATACAGCCATTGGTGTCCACATTGTTAAGCATGAGCTGCAGCATAGCAGAAAAGGAGGGTGAATTTCACATTTGCACATATTGCTTGCAAAGTGCGGTAATGGCCCTGTCTCATGCAAGGACGTTGCCATTCAAAGTCGGGTGGAAAATCTAAAACAAGACCCTCTTGTGATAGCTCCCAGTGGTAATACACTGGAGTAATCTCACAGCCCCTGCTTACGCTTTCAATATTAAAATCAGTCCGTAGTTCATTAAGAGAAACTTGTAATTAAATGTATGCTCTAATGGGTATTGGGGCGTTCTCGCCAATGACACGCTTGCTGCCGCTGCTGCGAACGCAGCAATTCATCTGGCTTCTCATTAACATTTCACCGCAGCAGCAAGAAATGCTGGAAACCATGGAAACTCGGATATTTACATTCACTTAACATCACCTAATAAATGCATTTAAGTCATTAGTATGTACATTAGAACAGACTAGGAAATGTTAATTCATAGCGTTTGTATGGCAACATCATATGAGACAGCAAGATTTACAAAACCGTAATATTTGGTATCATTCTCTTAAAGCCCTCTAGAAGGGTTGGGGGGGGCACATCTGGACTACAACTCTTGGTGAGCTGATAAAATTCAATTTAATAAGCAGGAGTGGAGCCTTGCTCCTGGGGTGCCCCCCTTTAACATTTAATCAGCATTGCTGCTGCTCCCATGAAAAAAGACTGCAAAAGGCACAGGCAGTAAATCTAGGTCACGGATGTGCACCCACTTGGTAAAGGATTTGAATGGGGAGGATAATGACTTGCACACGTGGCCAAGCGTTAACAAGTCCTCCGTACCCTCGTGCATTCAAATTAAAATCGCAACATAGGGCAAATGGACACATGATGTACATCTGTATGAATGACAATGATGTTCTGTGCAGAACTTGTCAGACAAGACAGGACAGTCCAGGGCTGAAGCAATCACAAGGGCCACAAGGAACAGCTGTTATAGCATTTTCAACAAATTAACGGCGGGATGGCGGGACCCCGGTGATCTATTCCTCTCGCCGAGCTCTACACGATGCGCTCACCAAAGTTTTGTTTCTTCTGCGCATTCGTCCTCGCTGCTGCGCTTGGACATGACAACAGAATGATCTGCGCCAGGCGGGTCGCGGCGCTTGTGCACGGTGGGACGGAGTCGCTAAAAATAAATTTATTACGATTTTGACCCCGGGGTCCCGCCATAAGATTCAAATATCAGAGCCTTTACTTTATTGGGTATCTGCAAATCTAAATGTTTCTAGTCAACTGAATGACGAAACTCTTTGGAGGATTGGAACAAATCATGTGCGAGTTGCCTACGCTTCAAGAGTTATCTTGAAAAATATGCTGTTTTCATGTATCTTTTTCTTATGTTCAACAGCAATCTTTAAATAAATTGTGAACAAATGCTATATATTCATGTGTACATAAAACTTGCTTCACTATAGCCACTCTTGAATCTATACTACTGGATTCGCAGCCATAGTAATGATAAACAATAATACTCTTTGTTCATCCACAAAAATCTCACTCAAAACTCTTTTTCATGAAATCCCATTCAGCATTTGCAATTGCACTGGGTTACAATTCGGATCCAGTTCTGGGACAAAGGGCCACACAAACTCCAACAAAACTCAGTCCATGACAAATTACTTCTGCCGGACGATGCTCGGCCCCAATTTTACTCAATTGAGCTCACCCATAGAAACCTCACCGTAACCCAAACACCCACTGCCATACGGCAGAGTGTCTATTGATCCAACCTCTCATGTGCAGTGCATGTTTAGTCAATACACAAGAAATCACTTAGGCATGGCCTCCTACATCATCACAACACTAACCATTGCCTGCCCGCAAAGCACAAACCATGCCTTTTCTACTCTTTCAGGCCACCTTAGTTGAACACCACTGTACACGATACGTGCAAGCAGCTGGCAACCATCCGTCACACATCAACACATGTGAATCACAGTGCACAACATGTATGTTAGAAAATACCCTACAATTTGATAGCCCTTCGTAAACAAAGCCTCATCTTACGAGCCCATGTTCAAGCACAAAGCCCTAGTGTACAGGGGAACTTGACGTGACCCAGCCACAAACTCAATCAATGCAATCGAATGTGGGCACACAAGAATACATCGCTTGAACCGACTGTCATTGAATTCCATCCACCGTGCCCTAATCATGGCAGTGTGTGGTAAAAGAGCCAGACTAAGCGTCGTTTATCTCATGTAGCTGTAAGCATTTAAAGCGGGTAAAGTCCATGCAACTAAGGGACACTTAATCATAAAAATGATCTACCAGCTCAAACAATATTTTTTGAGATGTGCAGCTAAACATAATTGCCTGATAAGATGCTGAACATGAATATAAAGGAAATATTAAATGTAGAAAATACAAAATTATGAAATCTATGCACAATTGAACTTTGCACAAATCCAACGAATTCAATTCCCTGTGAAGATAATAAAATAATCTTAATAAACACAACAAAAACATTAATGTTTTTTAGACATCTTCCACACGTCGTATTACAGTTTAAAATGAAATGTAACTTTTAGTACAGTGTTAGGCCTTGATCAGTGATAGGCGTCACAGACTTATAACGCTTGCATGCATGCAAATGCCTCTTCCTAACAATTGTTATTTATCTGTCTAAATAGAGGGGATTTCAAGACACTGTCCAAGACAACCGGATAACTATGCACAGTAAATTATACACAAAACCTTCAAAAACATAATGGATCACCACAGTAAATATGGCTAAAACGTTCCCTTTAAATAATTAACAAAACACGGCTCTTATGCAATCTCCATCTTGAGTTCATATACACAACACGAGGGTAAATATTAACTGAACCTTAGATTACGAGGTATGTGGACGCTGTTATGCTATATAGCTCTTTCTGGATGCATGCCTGTAGAGCTTCATTCGCAACATACATAGCCAAGCATGCTAATGGGAGATGTGGATGTGCCGTGCGTTATTCTGCAAGATATCTGACGTTTCAACCGACATGTTTCAGTCGCTGAAGCTCCCAGCACGGGCAGCGAAACATTGGACATCCATATTCTTGGTTCTTTCGGTAAAGTCACATAGAAGGGAAATAATAAAATAATAAACATATTTTTTATATTTTTATATTGTTTTATATGTTTATTATTTTATTATTCCCCTTCTACGTGACTTTACCGAAAGAACCAAGAAAATGAATCCCTGCAGTCACGAAAGCTTTAAATCAAAATTGGAAATCCAGTTAATTAATACGTGGCACGACCTGGACACACCAGAGAATTGTAGGTTTCACTTACATTGAAACTAGACAATTTTATTTTACCAGGTAAGGCCTACTGAGCTCTATAGCTCGTAGTCAGAAGCGACTTGGCCACAAATGATAGCCTAACGAGGTAGCTTATCACGTGTAAATTTAAAGCATCCAAATACTATAAACGCATGTTTCTAAATGTAGAGGAAAAAAACGGACCCGAAGAAAAAAATCCACGTGACCACGGAGAGAACATGTAAACTCCACATATACAGCCGTCAGGGTTGGGATTGAACCCACGTCCTCCTGCATACCTGGCAAGGTAGTTTACATATTGCCACAGCAGCTTTGACCCAAGCACGTGGTTGCCAACGTCCACAGCGAGGGCTCGGTGGAGTTGGTTGCGCCTACGGAGAGCGGCTATACCTGCTCGGCGGTGAAGAGCGGCTCCTCTGGCTGCATGCAGGACACGATGATGGAGTGCATGTCCAACTGATCGCGTAGCTCCTCGTCGTCAGAGAGATCCAGGTTAACACCCTCCTTCTCCTGCGAGCAGATGTCGCCGTGGAGGGGAGCAGGGTCACACCACCGCCCAGACAGCCAGTCCAGTCCAACAAAACAGCCTACCCCTAATCTTTATGAAACTCGGAAGTGCTGTCTTTCCCAACTGTTAAAATGAGTACAAAAAAAGGTGAAAATACATGCTCACGTCATTGCTGATAGAAGGGACTCTGCTCAAGGGAGCTCTGGAGCCCCTCTATAGGGTAGTTAAGTCTACTCTTGCCCACTGATTAGAAGTCTGGGAAGAGGTGGCAGTACCCACACTTCACCCCACTATACGCGACCCTGCCAATCAACTCACTGTGGTAGGTACACGTATTTATATTGCTGGTTAGACAGAGGTGAAGTGGGGAATTTAAGAAACGGTCAGGGTAACGGTAAGTTAAATTAAAACTTCCACATTGACTGATTTTAAGGCATTCATTCTGTATTCTCAAGGAATTATAGATAAACAATGTATTTGTGAGTCTAGCCGCAAAGGGCGTGGCTGAGAGAGTATACATAAGCATCTAAACCACTGCTGCCATTATATTTGTTATTTAAACATTTCTGAACAGCAGGAGGTTTTTTTTATTCAACAAACCTCCAACCAGGTTCAGGCGATAATTATTTGCGAGTTTTCCAATAATTAAAGGGTGTCTAGAGCTATAGCCGTCTTATTGTAAGACAATGTCTTAAAAATGACATTATAGAATCAACATATTGTACAAGCAGATGTGTTTCTAAACAAATGTACAACGTAACATTGGCAAATGAAAGGAATGTGGATTTTCGTGAATGTTGAAAAATGTTCACGTTGCGAGCTTCCATTTTTTCCATGTGGTTCGCTTTGCTGCTTGGTATACAGTGTGCACAATAACAGTGGCAGCCTCGTCTGCTGTGCGAATTAATCCGCACAGCAGGAACCACAGCCCGGCAACACAAGACGACTTGCGGAACGTTAAATATTCACACAATCAGATGCTCTACATAGTTACGACGACAAAGCAAACAACGAGCTGAAGCTGCGAACAATGAATAACATTAAATCTAAGTGAGCCTGCACCTAAAGATAATTGCCTATCCAGAGCCATTTGACTGGTAAATTTCAACAGGCCAAGGTATCAAAGCAAAAGCCATAAATATACCAATGTTAAGGGGAAAAACCCACTGTAAGTGTGAAGGCAATCCCTGTTGGACAAGGAACACAGCGTTACTCACATACCCTGCATTCAGCATGAATGTTGTAATCGCCAATGTTTGTTTGAAACGTGTATGGCCCCTTATGAATCAGAGTTAACGCGATCGACCTTTGAAACATCGAAATGCAATGCTGTAAAATGCACGTTGTCGTTTAAAAGCATGTTTAGTCCTTAGAATGGCGGCACTGGAATGAATAGACGAGTTGGATGAGAGGCGACAGCGTGAAAGAACCTAGGCGTGATGGCACCCACACTCTTCCTGAAATGTAGCATCTTCGTGCTATTGACCAACTCTTTACAGTAAAGTCAACAATTGATTTACATGGCTTGTAAATTGTACAGAGTGGATATAAAGGAGGGCCTTGTGCATTTAAAATGAAAACAATAACAAGCTCACATTAGCACGCACTTATGAATTAGCCATGTGCCACTGCTGCAAATCCAATATTTCTGTTCCATATATTCTTACCATGCAGGCGGGCACTCAACTAATTACCGAGTTGTGCCTTCTTTCCCATTAGCCCATAGTTTGCTCATGCAGACAGCGCACTGCTCTAATGGGCTGCAGTCACCGCATGCTCTTCCTTGGGGTCACGGGAGAAAATGTTTCAAAAACTGTCATGCGCACATTAACTTCCTCCAGCATGCGGCTTGTGTGTCAGAACGCATGCATGACCATGTTGAATGGTGTTAACCACGAAGCAAAGTTTACTGAAGATCCCCCAGCGAAATATCCAATTTGCAAGTGAAACAAGTTAAACTCTTAAAAAAAATTTCCAGAAGGTCTCTAACACTGCAAACACCACCTTTCCAACTGACAGTCACATCACATGTGGCATCCTGGTGTGTAACTGAGAATTATTTTCTCAAGTTATAAGTTGAGAAAGACTAGTGCTAAGATCCACAAATATTGAAGCAGATGGTAACTTTGTGTTTTGCTTCACATTACTGGACTGAAAGGCGAGACGTGCGGTAACTAGTCAGACAGAAAGTCACAAGTGAATCTCTTGAGCAGTGCGCCATCAAGCATCTGTATTCTGGCAATGACAATGTACAATGCCTTCATGTTGGATTATCGCTTTCAGATGTCAACTCTTACTCGCATCAAGTTTCGGTGATCGTATCAACATAAGCCAAGTGGCAGCCCACTTTGAAATTATATTTCCTATCTCGCTTTGTTGGCACAAATCATAAAAAAGAAGATAAAATTCACATTGGATCCTGTAGAAGACAAAAAAATAAAACTCATTTTAAAGTTACAGAAAAATGCTAAAATGTATGCAATGCACATTATATATGATTAATTAGATATACATGACATGCAAGCAGGTTTTTCTACTTGTGTAGGGAAATTTTTTTCACATTTACATATTGAACCATATCCTGTATTGGCAGCCAAGCAGGAATAGCTTAATCGCTTTTTTCCCCCTTTGCAATCCAAGTGCTCTTGGTTGTGCAAACAGAGCCCCTCGCATCACTTGTGACCCGTGAAGAGCGTTGAGGGCTATCCATTTAATGACTCTGCTCAGGAGATGCAGGCACTCCTCACAAATGTGCAGTTGTCACAGCCGTGCCAAAAAGCTTTTAATCCGTCATCTGTCACCACCTAGACATTTTACCTGCAGGACAGAAGCATCCCCCCCCCCCTCAATCAAACCAGGCTACACATCGTAACGCTACTCGCTTTGGGGGCAACTGCATTGCTCCCCAGCTGCTACACCAATCACGTGACAGTATCCGGTTGCTGCGGGCAACGCAGAGCTAGGCTCTAATCAGGGCGTATGAGACAAGACGGTGGAGGTGCCAAAATAATATAAAAACAGGCGGGGCAGTGGTCTGAAATGTTGGTTTTGGTGTTCATGTGAATTCAGTTTTTATATATATAAAATAGGTTTTGGATTGCGATAGTGATTGTAATAGTGTAACCTAACCCCGAGAGCTCACAGGTCAGTGCTGAGTTTGAACTGCTGGGATTCTGGGTTTGCATCTGGGTTTTAGTTGCCTGTGACTGAACTGGGATCTCAGGTTCAATGAGATGATGGTCTACACCCGGTCACTAATAACTGCACACAAAAACCGAATAACATATTTTGGTTTTGTCAGCTACATTGAAACTATCGGGTGGCCTGTGCATCCCCCCCCCTCCTCCTGTGTAAAGGATGAAAAGGCCACTGCAATATTTATCAATGCAAGCATTGTTGTAGGACATGATACAAATAGCAGAAATTAAATTAGGGCGGGAAAGAGAAAAATAGATATTATAAACGGTGGTGTTGCTTACAAATTAAATCAGATTGGAATTATCGGTTGACAATGATATAAAAAAAGTAATTACTTGAAAATGTATCACTGTAGGGTTAAGTTATGTTAAACATAAAACGTACTCCCACTTATAATTATTACATGGCTTGGTTGACAATATGCCTTCGACACAAACAGTGCAGTCTTAAAGGATGACATCGTATTGTCAGTTACCATCTTATTTTGATACGGATTAAGCTTAACGTTAATGTGGTCTAGCAATCCCAAAGAAAACCCATTTTATGACAGATTTCTCCCCCAGTGTCACTATATATGTCCAAACAAGTGGCAACACGGGGAATTAAACATAACTAAACTGATGCCGGCTGAATACTCCATACATAAAACACTGCTGGCAATCGTTACTGTTCCAGATTATTGGGAGGCCATATTTCGTTGATCCTCAGCGTTGTTACCTTCTTCTGGTTGAGGTTGAGCGTTGGCAAATAAAGTGTCCTTGTGTGAGAGCTGCTCCAGTCCACGGGCATGACATTCCCGTAGTTGTCCGTCACCTTGTTCCACAGCCTGCATCGCCGTCAACAACGCACAACGCACTCCGTTAGTACCAAGGCATCTATACAGCATGTATGAAACATAGCCGCTACAGATCTCACAGAGGTTTAACCGTATCCTACATAGACCCGACAAAACTTAAAATTAGATTTCTATTGATTTTAAACAGTCACATTACAGGTTAAATATTGTTTGTATTCAAGTGATTGAGATGAAGGCAGATAAGGACCGTGCCCACAGCCTGCAGATCAAATGACCAAATGGACTGTGTTTACAAATGCTTTTAATCAGTTAATGGTTTTTGCCAGCAGTCAGTGAATGCCAATGCTGATTCATGGACACTTTTGAACATGTAAATAAATAGCAAATGTTAGGCACTTGACAAAGCATCACATTATGGGTTCAATTTATGTAATGCAAGAACACCTTGTGCCAATGCTTTTGCTGCACTGCTTTGCGAATAGCTGTCTGCCATTAGGTGGAGGACTCATTGCTTGGTTCCGCAGCTTTCAAAACAGGAATAATGAATGTCGCTGCATAAAATATATATTTGTCCTTCATGCCAATCTATTCCCATTGTACTAACCGTGTCATGCCACAAGACAAAGAATAATTAAATCCCACAGAGCAGTGTGAACCCGTGTGCCAGAACACAGCCTGTGGGAGAGATGTTTCACAGAATCTCTTCCAAAAAAGAATCTTCAAAATGGCCTTTTTATCCTTTACACATTGACTCCGAAATGAGATTGTTAGTTGCAAAAACGTTATATCTCGTTTTAAATGCAGGAAGTTATTGAAATTAGAAAACCATTACATATATTAAAATAATGTCCTCCAGTAATTGGTGACCAGGCTCAGACCATCAACTTTCTATTGAAGAAAACCTGGTTTTAAACACAAACAGCTGCCTGGATTTGAACCCTGGATATCATCCACGCCGGCTGAGTGCCGTGACCGCTAAGCCACACCGCCACCTTGGGCTGCACTCTATAACATGTCTAGAGCTACATAATACTGAACAAGCATAGCTGCCCAAGAGTGCCATAAAACAATTCATTCTGGAAAATATGTAAAAGCATGTCCCCGCTACCAGGTAAAAACAATAACGCATTCAGGCAAGCATTGTTCTAGCAGTGATGTACAGTACCTAACTATGTCTGGTCCATATTAATTGTTGACGTGTCTGCGGTATTACATATCAATAGCACAATGTCAAAGCTGGAGTAACTCTCAACTGCAGACAAGGCTGACAATCTGCCAGCCGTGCAAGGCTCTCGGGCCTGACATGCATATCGCATCTGCATTGCCAGCACACACAAATACACACCACTGATCCTCACTGAAAAATACGCTTCATGGGGACAATGTCATTGATGCAGGAAATTCACTTTGAAACCGTGACCAGAATATGTAGCAATCAAGGCAAGTTTTTAAATGACAATTAAAAGTCCAGGAATTAAAAGCCGTAAAAAACTAATTCATTACACAGCAGTACGAGTCAATCAATCCTAGCTTGCCCCCCCACCGTCCTCTGAAAAAAAAACGAATGCCAAAAATTAATGACCCTCTATATTATGATAGCCGAGGCATTACACTCCACTGTGTAAGCAAGTCCCTGCTCTTTCAGATTGTGGCTGGTATGGCAGCAGGGCAGATGAGTGTGACCCATCAGCTTCACGCAGGGTTTAATTCCCGGACCGTGATTAAACAATCCCCCTAACCTTGTTATGCATGCCCACTTACTGTGCAATTCCGATAAACTGCATTACAGCACACCGCACAATAGCTGCCTAAGTCATCAGAATGGGCACTTCCAACAGATAAAACACACAAAAGATCCCCCCCCCCCCATATGCTAAATAGACTATTGGGGAAAGTGTCTCTCGCAGGCACCCAGACCTTACGTCAATAACAATTGTGATTGTGTAATTCGTAAACAAATGCATTCGTTATGTCTTTGTAATTTCACCTAACAAAGTAGCTGTAATTGTACTAAAAGGACCCGACATCTGCAAACACATAATATAGCTAGAACAATGCATGAGGGTTTGATGTGGTGAGGTGGCAATCATGTCGACAGAATTTGTCTCCCCCAGTAGTTCTGATTGTTTACACACTGCAGCAACTACTACTACTAATTCATGTCAGTCAACATAGACTGGGACTAACTCAGGCAGCTGGGGTCATGGCGCAGTACCATAACAACTTCACCCTTGCTCCCAATACACACACACAATGTGCACATACATTTACAACTGCAAACACCTATAGAGCTAAAAGATGGAGTTTGATTTTTAGACAACAAAAATACATCTGGTTATACTGTTGTCGAGTTCTAATTTACATTATAATTTCATTAAAGTAATGGAAAAACATTAAAATCATGCAAAAGTAATGGTGACATAACTCTTAATATACTGATGAAGTAATTGATTTTCAAAATCTGAATGTGCAAGTTACCAGCAACGCATTTAAACTGGGTGTGATGCTCATGAATAGCAGCAGCAGTTGCATACTAATGCATGTATGGCCACGAGGCTACAAAAGAACCCGGCACACCACAGCGCTGTGACATCTAGGGGGAAACGCCACAGTTTGAAAAAGGCGAGCATTCGCCATACTGCAATGCAGCAGTGCGCCCAGCATGTGTGCGTGCAGATTGCAGTGGCTGGCAATCCCACAGAGCTGTGAAAGCTAGTTAAAAAATACATTTGCTTAAAATTAATTGGCTTCACGCAACAAGCAGGGATGTGTAAGCACGGACTGGCGTGGCGGTCGATGTTAAGTGACACTGCTGCCTTGTGTGTGCTTATTGCAGTTTTTTCACCCTCAATGATATGTACACTAAGAGGCTTAAGAAAGTGTCAGGGGCCATTAAATTGATGTATCATCAGGACACTTTTAAATTCTACGTATTTCCTGAAACAGAATTGTCTATACCTGTGGATATGAACATTATTGATACGTAAAGTCTTTATACAGCATAATACCGTAATTGATAAGAAAGTAACATTTCCAAAAAAACGAATACCTGATTTTGGTTTAAGATAGCACTTAACAAATATCCAGATATTTTAATTAACAACCAAAATAATGACATCTAACTAAATAGAACATTTACTTCAGCATTATAAGAGTAATTTATTCTAGATAAACATTATATCGGCTTAAATTGGTCTCATTTAGAATGCAAATCGGACCTAGCCCAAAGGCCATCTTACAGCAGATCTACTCCATCCACACCAAGTGTCCAAAGCTTTTGACATGCAATGAATGGGATACTATCAAACTACCAATCAGGCAATTCACTGCAGCTGGACAAATTCTGTGCTGGGAAATTTGAAAAAAAAATCGACTTAAAGCTTTCGTGACTGCAGGAATTCATAGTCTTTGGGTCTTTCGGTAAACTCACGTAGATAGGTTTAAAGAAAATAATCATGAGCAAACACAAGATCCAGGTTCGATTTAACACAGTACATAAAATGTGTGATCTGACCCCATTTGTGAAGGATGTGATCCCTGACATGCAATACCCCGGCGTCTACAAACTAAGTTGTGTCTGCGGCAGTAGTTACATTGGGGAAACTAAGCGACATGTCTCGGACCGTGTTCGTGAACACAATACTTCGGCCGTGGATGATCATTGTTTTAATGCGATGGGCTCACGCGAAATTGATTTCTCTAAGACGAAGGTACTTTGCAAACTCACTAGCTATCAACAAAGATTCGTTCATGAAGCCATCCATATATGCAGATAGACACAATTTCAACCGAGAGGATGGGTACAAATTTAGCAATCATTGGAAGGACCTGATCAACCAGTTTAAGTCATAACTGGCTGTGATGTTCCCATCCTGCCACCTTCCGATGTTGTTATTTTCGGCTCTCCGATTTTACATGAACAGGTTAAATTTGTCACACCAACACAGCCACCTCCGCGCGCCGTACCTCGACGCGGCGGCGGCTCTGCAATCTCACATTAACATGCTAATTTTTTACTTGGCAGCCCTTTAATTGGTGGAAAACCCACCACCAACGCTATCGTTGACCATCACTTAGATGCCCCGCCCATGCTGCTGACACTTGGGCACTTTATAAACAGTTTGACTTTAGAGGCTAACCCCCTTTTCCTAATGACGACCGCTTGTGTTGCGATCGAAACGTCGTAGTTTTTTGTTATTTTCTTTGAACCTATCTACGTGACTTTACCGAAAGACCCCAAAAAAAAAATATCGAGGCTGATTTTGCTCCAGATTGGTAAAAAAAAAACATGTAACATAGTTAGTCACACAGGACCCTACATCCGTCACGGCATAGCCTGGCCTGGGATCCACGGGCAATTACCTCGCATTTGCATCCAAGACTTGGAAAATGTCTTAATTTGACTGAACTTACAAAAATGTTTATGCTTTGGGGGTTCATCAGTGCTGTAATTGCAATGGGTATGACATACACCGTTAATTCATTTCATTGAATAAAATGCGGCTAAAACATCTGACCTGATTTTTGAGCTCCACGGAAATGAAAAACCTTTAATATTTTTTTCAAGGACAATGGCAATACACTTTGTGGTACACATTAGTTTCCCACAAAATCATTACATAAAAGATAAAAAAAAATGATTCTAAGTGACGAACACATTTAGCAAAAATAATAAATGCATGGAAATCAAATCAATTATGTATGTAATGGGATGGTGTGGATGTTTTAGTTGTTTATTATGAGGATTATTGTTTAATAACAATCTTTATAGCCTCGTTAACAGATGATGGTGTTTATTAAGTTCACGTAAAATATTGGGAATTTTTGTTCGTAATATAAAAATACAGGATCAGAATGTGCTTAACATAGTCAAATTCTCTATCCACATGCATTACATGAAATGTACATGTATATATCATGTACTTTGATAGAAGCTGAACCTGTTGGGTAATGTAGCCTGTTGATAAGGCCCTTTTTGTTTGGCTGAATATGGATGGATTCAGGGTGGTCTGTGTCATTCCACCGTGTCAATGGATAACTTTGCAAAAGCAGTGCTATCTCCAATATCTCCAGACACGCAGGACTCTGGGATTGACTCTCAAGGATAACACACTTTGTGGGGGGGGGGGGGGCTTCAAAGACATAGCCACCGTGCTAATGTTTATTTAAGGAGAAGTTTCATCTCCTAAAGCATACACAGTTTTATCTGACACATCATATAATGATCACAATTTGTTTTTATATTTTTAGAGTAGATATAAAATGTAAATTAAGACGTTGGTGGTAGGTGCATATAGATTTATAATCAACGATGATCAATCCACTGCAGAATAAAATGCTTCCCCAAGCTGTAGCCATCTCTCATGGTCTCGCGATGTCCATCTAGCGCCTGCCCACAAGCTGATTTCCACATTCTATCTCCGTGGTTTATGGTGAATAACACCCTAATTGTTGTTAGAGTTCTGTAGTGTATACATACTTGTCCAATCCAATTGTATGACAACCTCAGCGTGCTGTAGCATGAATACATCGTTGAAAATATTCTGGAATCCTGGAGTGTGTAAGGAGTACACCATTATCTAGCATACTATGGGGCCTAACTCTCTACTTAAGGTGCATTAGAGTGAAAAATGCAGGTCAATCCACAATGCGACTGCACATGCCTCTGATCAAATTGAGCATTAATGGTCATCTGAGACCAATGCACCATTGCATACACCATTTTGTGATCTAACCTTTAAAACGGATTCGTTTCCCTTTCTGCTGAAGCAGACTTTGTATTCCGTTGCGGTAGTAACGATGATCGGAGGAATTTGACAAGCAGCTAAGAAACGCGTTAGTATGCTTGGCGGTTAGACTTGACAGTAAGTAGCACACTTGCACACCCGTGTCTCTTCCCCACCACCTCCTTGGGTTGTTAGGCAGTCAATCAGGACTTATTCAAATGCAAGTCTTGTCTACGTGGTGATTTTCCAAGTCCTAATACCCACAACTGTGATAATGACAATAATACCCAAATTAGTGTTGTTAGTGGGACGGCCTCAATTGTACCGTGTGTAAATATGGAATAGAACATTGCACATTGTACATATTTTGCACACCCGTGTGTTTATACACACATCCTTGTTAACCTACATAAGCAATACACCAAGTCGCCTTCATTGAAATTGTCATGGCCATGATATGCAAGCTGCTGCTCACTTATGCCACAAGCTTCTTGGTAATGCTGCAGACGTTCCTCGGAGAAGACTTTCACCTTAATTAGAAATGTTAAGGCCAGTAACATTAAGCTGCTGGTCATCATGTCACAATGGCATGACCACCACGATGAATGGGCCCCCACAACCTTGGTGCCATATTCCATCTGTGATGATGCTGATAACGACCTTTTTAGTAATTGTGGTTGATAATGATGATAATGATGCTGCTGGAATAATAAAAATGATGGTGATGTTAAGATTATCATTTTGGTGATACTGCTAGTGATGCTGATGATGTTTGACGCTACTGGTGATAATCATGATGATCATGATAATTGTGCAAAAGGTGCAAATGATGCCGCTGCTGTTGAAGAATGATGTTGGGGCCCTTGCCACTTCACCTCATGCAGTCGATAATAAACGATTGCTCTGTGACAATGCCTGGAATGGTGATGTTGGTTGGCAATCATACCTGAGTTCAATCCCAATTGTAAATGTGCAAATTGCAATGAATTGCAAGAACAATGTATTTGTATATGGAATTTAAGATAAAATTGATATTGTAATTGTAATTGGCTCGAGGTCTGAATCTGCTGCTTGCGATGACCACGATATTTCTGCTGATGGTGACATTACAGGGCCCGTTTAAAGGCTTTCCATGCTACGGCACGATATAAGATTTATTCCCGTATTACAGTATAAAAAATGTTTTTGGTCATGATTCTGCGGCTGATGATAATTAAAATACTTGATGAAAATCATGACACTGCTGCTGCTGCGATTATAACACTTCCATAGGTGATGATCATGCTGTTGTTACTGATCATTATAATAATGCCGCTGAATGCTGATACCGATGCAGGCTGCTAACAATGCCGACAACACTCGTGAAGGCACAATCCTTGCTGATTACGATCATGCTGCTACGGATAAGGATTTTGCTGCCGATGGTTAACCCGAACGGCAATGGCAATCCCGCCGGTGATTATGTTCAAGAATTCTGCTGACACTATTTTCACCGATTGTTATCTTAATGTCGATGCAGATATTCATTGCTGTTGCTGCACATGGGTGTTGCTGTTGCTAATTATTCTAATGATGATGCTGTACAATCAATGGTACCGAGGTTCCTTATGCTGATGCTGGTCGCCTCGAGATCTCACCTCGTTAAACCAATGATCTTGAATACCGCCGTTGATAATGACGATTCTGCTCTTACTGCTGATTATGCTAATCATGTTGATCGTGTTCAATTACGTCCCTGATTATCGGGGTCGCCACGCACTCGTCCCGGATGCTGCTGCTGCTGTTGTGAATGATGGTGATAATATTTAATATCGCAGCTGCTGTTAGCTGCACCTCGCTATCTTGTCGGCGTGGATGCCACTAATGCTGCCATCAATGATTCTCATTATGTTTAATGGCCCTGGTGCCAAATGATGCTTCTGATGTCCGGGGCTCGGCTTTACCTGTAGCCTGCTGCTGCTAATGCAGGCGATATGTATGTATGCTGGTATTGTTAAACATCTATTCCTGCTATGTTTATTGTCAACAAGTACTTCTGATGCTCATAATGACGCTGCTACTACTGATGTGTTTCTGAAACTTAGGTTGCTCATGTTTAATGCTGCTGCTCATCATTGGAACCTCATTTGCAAGTAGCAAAATATGATAATTGTTTTTTTACCATTTTATCTGGCAACAAAACTGACACTTTTTTTTACAAGGAGTCATGTTTGCATTGACCACAATACCTGCAGTCACCATGTCAGACGAGGCTCTAAAGAAAGCTGTCTCGGGTGTGGACCAATACATTTCAAGGACAGTGCATACATTATCAGAGTTGTGTTTTTTTTGCATTCCGACTGCAGGTATTGTGGTCAATGCAAACATGACTCCTTGTAAAAAAAGGTGTCAGTTTTGTTGCCAGATAAAAGGCTAAAAAACCAATGATCATATTTTGCTGCTCATGTTTACGATGATGCTGATGCCATTCAACCCGATGTTGTTTCCCTTCCTTATTATTCGTGATGCCGCCGATACGGACCAAGCTGGTGACGTTGCCGCTAATGATGTTTAATGCGACTGCTGATGGCGAATGGTGATGAATGTTGCCGGTGTATCTGCTGCTTGTGTGTAATGTTGCGGGTACGGCCTCCAATGATGTCCACGGTGATGATGCCGCTGCTGGCGATATCCCATGTTGCTGCGAGACGATGCTCAGGATGATGATGATGCTGCCACTGATGATGTTGTGACTGCAAATGATGCTCGCGTTGATGCTACTTCAGCTGATGATACTGCGGAAGATGACTGTGTTCAATGTTGCTGCGACTGATGATGATGTTGCTGCGACTGATGATCATGTCGCTGATACTGCTCAATTTGCTCTTGATACCGTCAATGATGTCGTGACTGAGGTTCAATGGTAGCGATGTTGATGCTGCTGCTGCTGCCACTTGTCACGATGCCGATGATGCCGCTGCTGCTGCTACTGATGATACCACTACTGCCACTGCCACTTGTCACGATGCCGATGACCGTGACGATGCACACAGCACACACACACTCACTCGTCGTCTCGGAGCCCGTCCGCCTCGCCCAGGGCTCGCACCGGGGCCAGCGCCTCGGTGGGGGCGTTGAAGTTCCTGAAGCAGGCGGTCAGCTGCTCCTCGAAGCCGCTCACCAGGTCCTCCATCGACTGGAAGCTGCAGCCCAAATCTCCAGAGAAGTTGTCCACCAGCTCGCCCAGCTCCTCCGAGCTTGAGCAGGCCACCTTCACCACCCCGGCTCCACCACCACACGCATCGCCACCACCACCGCCACCACGAACATCGCCGCCGTCATCGTCGTCCTCGTCGGCGGCGGCGTCGGCGGCGTTCGAGTTGAGCGAATCGTCGAGCTTGGAGGAGGCGGCGGCCGTGAGCGGCGCCTTGAACTCGTTGAAGTCCTGCCAGTCCTCGTCGAAGTGGGCCAGCGGCGCGGCCATGTTCGCGCCTCTCATCACTGTCCCCTCTCTCCTCCTTCGGTCTCCGTCTCCTCCTCGGGTGTCCGGCCTCTCGTCTCTCGCGTCTCTCACGTCTCACGCCGACGCTTCTTCTTCTTCTGTTGCCGCCTCCTCCTCCTCCTCGCCTCTGCAATTGGAGCGGCTGGGGACGCGCAGATTTCCCAGCACGCACAAGGCGCGGCACCGCCCCCCCGCGTGGAGGGCGGCGGTCACGTGCTGCGTCTACAGCCAATTGGTGCGCGGCTCGCGTGGCGGCGGCCGCTTATGTGAACTGGGAAAGAAAACATGAGTGGGGAGGGGGGGTTGGAAATAGGGGGGGGGGGTGTTTCTCGCGCATGCGCACTGAGTGTAAGTGGGACGGCAGGGCGCGCGCAGTCACGTGACGCGGGCGTGGGGTTGGCGTGCTGGTGGTGGTGGTGCTGGTCTCTGAGATTCATTTCAACAACAAAAATTTAGAAAATAATTATCACGTTTTTTTCTTCAGATGAGGACCCACATGTAAATTGAGCTACTTTATTGTTTCAGTTTGAACTTGTACGACAAATGAAATGTAGATTCAAATGTTGTTCATGGGGGCCCCTCCACCACCACTACAGTGGAGGCTCTCCAAAAATCCGGCGAAATGTTGGCGTTGTGGTGGTCTGGGGCATGGAGACCGAACGAATTTATTTACTTTCGTTTGTTTTCTCTGCGATTATCTTTTCTTGTTACGTGCACTTTTTTCTCGTTATTTATGTATTAAAAAATTCCTAAGTAGTGTGGTTTTGTTTTTATATGTTGTGTACCGAACTGGATAATTGATGTGCAACGTTGTTGGATGCAATCGCATGAATGACGCTATAGAAAATAAAATTATTATTAAATATGAGTAGAACGTTGTTCTGTGTCTATATATGAACAGTTTTTTTTTTACAAATCAATTGAGATGACTCAGCAGTAATCATCGCCGCTTAGTGGCACACGTGTCCGTTTGCAAGCCGGGTGCCGAATTACCTTGTGCGCCCACAGGGACAGCTGCCACTGGGGGTGCCTCTTTCCAATCAATGAGTTGAGATACGATGCGATTTAAAGCGTTCTGAACAGACCTGGCAGGAAGGGCGATAGATTAAAAGCCAAAGCATGATCACGACATTTGTTTGATCCACGTTTTTTTTAGCAGGAGACGATGTCGCTTTGTGTAATCCCAATTGAGTACTGTGTGTGCAGGTCATTTTTTCAGTATTCAAATTTTTGGCCAATACCAATTAAATTGTACGTTTTTTTTACAATATATTTGAGTCTTATCATCAGCAAGCAACATTTAAGCAAGCAAACCTTGGACCGGTTTCCACCTTTTGGCTCACATCAGCAGTCAGGCTGGTTAAATGCAGCTGGATTACCAGTTATTGGAAGGAGCGCTCCATATAAAACTCCTTCTTCGTTTATGGGGCATTGCTAAATCTGCTGGTTGGAGGACCTTCCAATGCCGTGCGGTTTATTTAACCGTATATCATGACTACAGTGGTGAATGGGGGTGAAAGCGGGAAGCACAGACGTAGGAGCATACACATACAGCACATCAGTAGATTGTGGCATGTGTCCTCTGCTGTCCACATCGGATATCCCGGCAGCAGTCTATAATAACCTGACATGCACGGTGGTTGCCCAACCAAGCACTGTCCAGGCCGAACCCTGCTGCTTAGCAAGCTTCTAAAAACATGACAAGACTGGGCACATTTATGGTAATATCGTCAGGCAATTTAGAGCAGAATACTGTGTAACAACGATGTATTTACTGCACTGCCCTCTGCACGCCATGTGGTGTCTATTTTAGAAGGGTCCTACGATGTTTCTGCGATGATGGCTACGTTATAATCCCAACACTGTAGCTTGCATTCGGGGTAAAAGGCGGCACAAATAAAATATTGTCAATCCATCAGCCTTTTCTATACTTTGCAATCCTATCGTGTGTTTTTTTGTTTGTTATTCTAACGTTCTGACCCACCCCTACTGGACATCCGTGAGAAAAAAAGCTTTATAACTCATCGGATTCCTCCGTTATAAATGCATATTCTGATTCTGAATATCATCCAACAACATTTGCTTTATAAAGAAAAGTGGACTGGTGTCGACTGCGAGCCAATCTCGCTAAACAACTGCTTTTGGATTACCTAATGCTATTGGCAAGAGCACTTCGTCAACACGATTGTACACCATGCCTGGCTGTTGTTCAACAATATAGTAATTGAAATAGATCTACGTTCCGATCTACGTTCTTCACTCAGATGATGAAAAATAAGAGTCCATCAGCTCAACAAGGCCTTTCCTGACCAATATCAGTGTTCATATCAAACAACTCGCCTTTTGCCCGTCCAAGGACGGGTGTATTGCAGTAAATCTGAAACTTGCAAGCGAAAAGCAGAACGCGACGTGATAATCATTGCATCAATGCGTGTCCAATTTGTAAGGGCGCGGTGACACAGACCTATGTCATTTAAAGGTTATAATCCCTTGTTCATCACGACGTCCTTTTTACTTCGATGTCTCAACAGCTCAGATCACGTGACGTGCGGGTTCTGCCTTTGTGGTGAGGGTTGTGAGTTGACGCCGAGAAGGGGCGAGGAGACGCCTCGGCCCCCCATGTGGAGTGACGTCACCTGCTCATGATTATTAATGAGGGGGGTGTCCATGTGGAGGACGTCACCTGTTCATGAGTATTAATTAGGGGGGCTGGCTGACGTGGAGTGACGTCAGGCACGGGACACACAGACATTCTTGGCGCATAGTAAATTAAACTAGCCAGCTTTGTGAAATATGGTCAAACAACCCACGTGACTGACAAAGAGTGGGGATTGAGACCATCCAGCAGTGGATTGAGAAAGGGCTGTAAAATACATAACGAGACAGCGGTTTTAGCGATGTTGACAAAACCACACCATTTTGTGGTATGAAGATGTAATCACGAGTTTCATCGCTGCAATCATCCACATGTCTGCCTTGGCATTGGCGAAATACATCCTATCAATTAACAAAACAACTCACATTCGTCAATAACACTGCCTTAAAGGAAATTAATAATAGGCAACGTTTCAGGCAATGACCCGCTTTATCGTACATGTATAGATAGGTCAGAGAGATTGATTGGAAGACTTCACCTTGCAGGCTTACACCGTTGGGACTGATGAGAATAAATACATCGTTTTCTGACAACCAGTTTTTTTATTTGCATATTAATTTATCTAATAGAAACTGAGTAAGACAGACTCTTCCATAACCAAAAGGAAAACATTACTACTAAATAAATAAATGTACATTAAAAGTAAAATTACTGCATCAAATGTTGCTGGCACATTGCATTTCATCATGTCGTATGAGGATTTCAGAGCCCGAAGTGTTTACCGAATTGTGAGCCACCATCTCCAGTGTTATTTGTTCCCAAAAGATTCTGCAAAAACCGGTGTGGTCAACGGCGTTTTATTTACAGCAGAGCCTCAACATCATATTCAATAAAAAAACATTTATGCTTTTTTCAAAAGTGGAGTAACGTGGAGATAAGGGGATACGGTAGTATAACATTTGTCCTTCCATCTGCTGGTCATCTCACATCCCAGCTGACTTGGGAGTTTCAGAAATCTAGAGTATGTAGCCGACTGAACTCTTGGGATTCATCTTTCATATTCGCTTATGCATTATTGATTTATCTTCTCTTATCCGGTCCTTTGTTGCGTCACACTTGAATTGCACGTTGAAGGTAATTTAATTAAAAGTACGTACATTTTTTATGCAACAGTTTCTGTTTTGTTGTTACGTTTCATATTTCATTTTCAAAGTACCTTTTTCATTTGTTGTGCTTTTAATATTTCCGTGGTGTTTATTCACGTTTGTTGAGGCGCATGCTTGGAATTACACCACGAGACCTAAAGGGGAGCACACTTAAGTTCAAGTTTCAAGTTTCATTTATTAGGTATAGCCCTGTGAGCCATTCGGCTCTTGAATCGGGTGCAACCGCAACAAACAAAAAAACAAAAACATGGACAAGAAAACATCTTAAAGTGACTATGTACAAACAGAAAATCCAAGAAAAGACAGCTAAATATTGCAGAAAAAGCACCGTACACCAACACTGTGTGCAAAAATCCCAGTGGGATGCAAGTCAAATTAATGTATCTGAAAATGGAAATGTGCATGTTTTAAATTGTATATTCTACAACAAAGCAAAATTGTATTCCTTTCATTCCTACAAGTTATTTTTTGCTAAACTTGATGAATAATTGTAGTTTTCCATACACGTATTTGCAATGTAATAAACTCATATTCTAGCGCTTTGATGTCGGTCATTTTACTTGCAATTTAGATTTTGAAAAGTATTCCTTACGTTCCTCTTAAACGAGCGATGGACGATCGAGAAAATCGGTCTAATCTTAAAGGAAGATGTGCATGGACGAGTACAGACATCGTCAACCAAGACATCACATTGACTCTGAGGAAAACTGAGGACGTTTGGAAAGGCCGCATGACTGCAAGAGATGATGGTCGGTGGTCGAGACTTACAATGGAATGGCAGTCAAAGGAGCGTGCACACCCAAGACGGTGCTCGCCGTACTGGAGACTGAGCGACGAAATAAGCCCACGCGTAAGAATTCCAGGGATGAATTGTCGCATGGCGAAACTGCGAGAGATGGCAACGGCTTGGGGAAGCCATCGTCCAGCAGTGGATAGAGCACGGTTGGCGATGTCTGTACTCGTCCATGCACACCTTCCTTGAAGATTAGACCCATTTTCTCGATCGTCCATCGCTCGTTTATGAGACGTAAGGAATACTTTTCAAAATCTAAATTGCAAGTAAAATGACCGACATCAAAGCGCTAGAATATGAGTTTATTACATTGCAAATACGTGTATGGAAAACTACAATTATTCATCAAGTTTAGCAACAAATAACTTGTCGGAATGAAAGGACTACAATTTGGCTTTGTTGTAGAATATACAATTTAAAACATGCACATTTCCATTTTCAGATACATTAATTTGCTGCAACCAACATTTCATCAAGAGAGCAAACGTAACAAATGGAGACCTTATACCAAATGCAATGTGGCACTGTGATATAATGCATTAAATGCAGTTACAGAATGATTGAAACACGCTTCCAAGACGATGGCATTTATGTGTAC